CATGTGACCCTATGGGACAGTCACGAAAATCTCGGCGATGTGGGGATGGAAGGGACCTCCCTGTCCTGATGAGGGGCGTCTACAGCTGACCTCATCCCTAATGGCGAGGAGCTGACGACTTTCTCCTTCAGCTCGGGACAGGGCGAGGATGTCCCCTCCTCGTGGGTCCTAGCCGTGCGACGAGAAAAGAAAAAGCAGGCAATGGCAGACATTCTGGAAGGAAGAAGTCAAACTTTTCTCTCTCTCTCTTTGGTAGACAACCTGGCTGTGCCTGGAAATGATCCTAAAGTGTCTGCGAATTGTTGCAGACGAGACAGAGCCCCTCATCCAGCCTCTCCCTACCCCCGGCCCCAGGCGCCCACTGACCTGCTCCCCATCCCTCCACTGCTGCCCTTTGCAGAAGGCTGTGTGTGGAGTCGGGAGTTCGCAGCCCTCCGCCGGGTGCGTGGAGCTCTAGCCCGCGTGTGGTGGTGCGCATCAGCGGTGGTTCCTTTACTGATGAGTAGGATTCCTTCCTATGGAGGCTCCACAGTTTGTTTTCAGAGACTGAATATGTAGACAAGGGCCAGACCATACACAAGAATAGAACTCTGACCCCTGAGCCCTCATCTGTGGGAACCAGCTCAGGAAGCCAAATACTAACGGTAACACTAACAGTAACAGTAACAGTAATGGTAACAGTAACAGTAACAGTAACAGTAACAGTTGGCCCAGAGCAGCCGGGATTTGATCCATTGCAGCAGCTTCCCTGACTTTTGTCCCCGCTTCCAACCAAGGACCAACCAGAGAAAGCCAAGTGTGCCCCCAGCCAGTCATGTGGGATGCCCACTTCCAGTCAGTGCCCCCAGCTCCCCAGGCCCACGGCCCCATCAGGACACACCCGGAACCTTCCTCTTCCGCCATGAAGCTCCCGGCTCTCCTCTGCCTGCCTTCGGGTCTCCGCCCAAATGTAAGTGATGGTGGCCGACTCGCTTCTACGTGGTGCTCTGAGCACGTGCCCTGGCCAGCTCTCTTTCCGGTGTTCTGCCTTTGTTTCCAGTTTCCACGCTCAGTCACCAGTGGATGGATATTCGGGTTCTTTCCAGTTTGGGGCTATTATGAATGGAGCCGTGGTCAACGTGGGCGTACAGGTCTTTGTGTGGACGTGGGGTTTCAGCTCCCTGCATGGCAGAACTGGCTGCTCTGTAGCGGCTTGAAGGCTACCCAGAACCTCCTGCTGGCCTGGGGGCTCAGGAGTCTGGGGTCCACAAGCTGCATCCCGGGACAGCAGAGCCAACTGCCTCCCTTGGGGTTTTGGGTGGCCCCCAGCCCCTTTGTGGGGCCTCAGCTGGTGTCGGGCTTCCACTTCTTGTACCCTTGGCATTCCGTCCTCTCCTGCCTTGGGACTTGGGGCACGAACCCCGCTTCCCTCCCTGAGTTGGGGGCAGCTGTGTGGGAGACGTCGCCCGGCCGTGGTGAGGATGGGTGCGCTGTCCTTCAGAGACTGCAATCCGGGCGCATAGTTGGCGGCCACCTCACACCCTGGAATCCCCCTGAACAAACTTACTGTGCTGGACGCCTCTCTCTGGTCCCTCTATCCCCACGAAAGCCACCCTGGGTCTGACCATTTTGCCCCAAATTAGAACACATCTCAATTTGGAGAGACTTTTGCTGCCACGAGTAATAGGTTAACGATTCTCAAAATAGCTTCCTCGTGAGTAGCCGACAGGCTCACTTGGCCCAAAATGAATCTGAAGGGGAATCAAAAGCATGTCTTTTCCCAGAAAACAGATTCCTCATTGACGCATTTTTCTCCTGTTGATTTTTTCCCCCGTTTCCAAAATGGAGCTTTTTTCCACAGTCCTTTATGCAAGGAGCCAGGCTGCAGAGACAAAGTCGGCTTGTCAGCAGTATTCTGTTCGTCTCTGTTCCCTTTTCCGCGGGCCCCTGACAATAGCGCTATTATCAGACAGCTCTCTGAGTCCACGGATTTTCCTCTCCCCTCCGGGGCTAATGAGGAGAAAGGTTGCCAGGCTGAACAAAGATGGGGGCATTTTCACTTGACTGGAGCCCCAACACTGCAAGCTGGGGAAGGGCCATTATGGGGCACGTTGGAGACTGTCATTCGATCGCTGTGAATGACTTTTGGAAGGATGGCCATTCATCAGTTCTGTGGTTCACATCATTTGTCCTCCGAGAGCGGAAATACATTTCCCGGAGAGAAGCCTTTCAAGCTGCCTCTGTGCCCGGAGCTCCTGGGGCTGACCCCACCCCTGACCATCAGGCTTAAGATCTCACTGTCACCTGTCAGCTGTCAGGGAGGGAAGAAACCTTGAAATATTGGAACGCCCACCTCGACCAATCCCGCACGGGGACATGCACTTCACTTGATGGTGTCAGGAAAATAAAAAGGCTCAGCCCCCCGGATTTGGGTCCTGGGATCTTGTTCCAAGATCAACTTCTGTTTCTTCCCTTTGGCGGCCGGCGGGGGCTGCTGTTTAAGGGACCCCAGGCCTCGCCCCACCCCATAACTTCCAGCTGAGCGTGTTCAGGCCCCTTTGGAGACACTGGAGTTCCCAGAATCCATGTTAAGTGACGGCTCTTATAGCAAACCATTCATTCATTCATTCCTTCATTCATGCAGCCCACCTTTGATGGAAAGTGTTTCAAGCCAGGCTTTGGAGACTGAGAGTTACCTCAGGGCCCTCTCCGTCTTCTCAGCCCCTAAATCCCATGAGTGTGATAGCTTCTGACTCAATGAGTGGAGGTGCAGGGCCCCTATTTGTCCTTGGGGTCTGAGATTGTGGTCTGTGGGGGGGACTCTGGACCCCACACACTTCTAAAGCTGCTGGGAGAAGGGGATTGCCGCCTGATTTCTCTGTTTGACGCTGTGGTCTTGTTTTCTTCCTGCCATACAAAGAAAGCAGGAAAGGCGAAGGGACCTTCAGGCCCCAGAGGGCAGTGAGATGTCCCCGCGTGGGAAGACACTGCTCCTTCCACATCAGGGGAGGGCCATGCGCCATTGTGGCCTGGGCAGGGTTGTTGTGTCAGACAGACACCCCGTTCGATCTCTTTGGGTGTGGGTGGTGCGCCGCCCACCCCAGCTCTGTGTTCTGGCGACAGGGCAGCCACCTTGGAGGACCCGGGGCTGGTTGGGAGTCCTGGGAACTTGGGCATTGTCTCCTGTGGTGTGGGTGGCTGAGAATGGGTGGCATGAAGTGGGGCAAGGGGCTTCAGGGAGGGTGGGGAGACCAGGGGTCGTGGGGGGTCAGGCAGGTAAGATGTTACCTGTGGGCGTGGTCAAGTGCATCAGGTCTGGATAATGAGCAGGTGTCAGGCAACATAAATGCCACCTGAACGCAGAAGACCCATTTGCAGAAGGTGGAGAGCCAGCCGCCAGTGTCAAACGTATGGTAGGCTGCTGGTGCAGGTGACCCACCACCACCTGGAAACTCCCAGTCAAGCGTTTTCCAGGCATGACACCTCCAGGCCTGGCAGCCTCCAGGTGTGTCCACCCCCAGGCATGGCATGCCCCTGAACATGCCCTGTGTTTGAGGAGCTGGGGGGGGTCATGGTGGCATAGCACCAGAGGCCTGGGGGTCTGCCAGCAGGAGGAGGGAGGAGCCCAGGAGAAGTTCAGAGACCCTGGGTGGGGAGGGGGCTATTTGTAAGTGGCAGGCAAGGCTGGCCCAGAGGCTACAGGCCTAGGGGACACCTGGGTGACACTGGTTAACCTCCGTGTCAGCAGAAAGTGGAGAGGAGGCCCTCGTGGGCAAGAAGGTTTGGGGAGGTCCCTGCGGGCGGCCCACATGGCCTGATTCGAGGCGCAGCACTCGTCTTTGTCATTTAACCATTCAAGGCCACTTGGTTGAAGCAGAATCAGGACGGGGGAACGAGCCCTCAGCTGCAGCAGGTGGGCCCCAAGAAAGAATGCCTGGGTCTTGGGGGGAGGGGTGCCCTGGGGAAGCTGGGTCTGCTTTCCCTGCAGCCCCAGGCATTTGCTCAACCCCTGGCCACTTGGCCATCTGGACATCACCTCTGGGACTCGGGCCCTGGCTGGGGGCAGTGTGAGGAGGGTGGCAGTGCTGCCATGCAGGGCTGGCTGGTGGGGAGGTCCACCCTAGGAAGGGGTGGGATTCGGACTGGTCTTACAGGATGGGCTCCTCCACTACCTCCAGGAGGGCATGCTGGGCTTCAAGAGACCTAGGGCACAAGTTCAAGGGAGGAGGCCCTGGGGGTGGGTACACCTGGAGGCAGGCACATGTGGAGGGTGCCACGTCTGGAGGACATACCTGGAGGCCACTGTGCCAGGGAGTGGACACACCTGGAAGCTGCCACACCTTGAGGGGGGCACACCTGGAGGGGGCACACCTGGAGGGGGATGTGCCTGAAGGAGGTCACTCTTGGGGGCTGCTGCAACTGGAAGAAGACACACCTGGAGGCCACCACACCTGGAGGCCACACCTGGAAGACATCATGTCTGGGGGTGGACACACCTGGAGGCTGCCATACCTGGAGGCCACTGCTGTGACTGAGGGGCCATCTAGGGTAGCTGGTGCTGTCCCTGAGCTTGTCCTTTTCTGGAAAATGGCAATAGCACGGGACAGCCCTGGGGTGCTGTTGGGAGGATGGCTTCGCTTGCACCAGGGCCTGTCACCCAGGACTCTCAGTCTAGACAGGTGAGCCTCGCCACTGGCCACGCCCCGCCTCTGAGGCCCTTCTCCCAGCCCCAAGCCTCGGTTCTTCAGTGAAGCTCACGGGCACGGAGGCTTAGAAAAGCACACAGATTTATTGCATATCAATCTCATGTATAAATTCATTGTAGCATCGGAAAGATTACATTTGGTATACACTCCTAATCTACAGCTTAACCTCAAATCAGCTTCTCCTAGGCTTTATCTTAAAGAAATTTCTCTACACAAGTACATTTGTCTTTTTCACAAGCATCAAATGAAATCTGCAGAATCGCTCTGAACGGCTTCCGAGCCCTTACGCCTTTTTGTCTCATTCTTCTCCCACAGCAATTTCCATCGTAATTAAGAACTGCGTCTCCTTTGCGTCGGCAGCTCAGGACTCCAGTCTTGAGGACGTGGACCCTAACCACACAGTCAGTAAGTGCATCTACGGAATTTTCCTTTCCATAAAAATTTCACAAACAGACACGATAATGACTGCTAAACACGAGTCATGCACAGTTTACTGATAACAGAAGCAATTTACAATCAGGGGACATGGCACACACGTCAGCCTCCTTCCTGATGGTTTCTTTAAACGTTATATGAAAACCAGACATTTACTCTTCATTTCTTCTTCAACACTCTACAGTTTCAAAAGAAAAAAACAAAAACCAAACTAAACCAAATCTGAGATGTAACAACGGCCAGAGGATGGCGCGGCTGCACAGGTCGGGGTGCCTGCACGCGTATATACCTGTGTGTGCTTTCAGCGACGTGTTCTGACATGGGGCTCAGCTTCCCTCGTCTTGAAGAGAACAGTGACGATGCAAAACGCACGGAGAGAAACCTCTAGAATTACTTTGTTCACAAGTGAATTGCACATTTGGAAATTCAAGCTGCCTTTTCATTATATTTTCTTTCATTTTTTTTTCCAAAAGTGGTAATTTGAATCAGTGACAGAAAAGAATAAAACAAAAAAACTGGAATGGAGGAGAAAAGGAACGCTCCTTGGAATATCACAAGAATGTCTTAGTCACAGTATCGCTCATTGCTACAGAGACACAGTTTCATGGCTTTGATACCCGGCTGACCTCCACTGACCAGGAGCAGCTGTGTCCTCACGTCCCCAGCCGGGAGGGGAGCGAGGTGCCGGGCTCCCCGTCTGTCCCCGGGCAGCAGTGCAGGGGCGCGCTCTCCCGGCCTGGCGCTGCCCCTCGCCCCTCCCCCAGGACAGCACAGTGAATACAGCTCAGTAGATTTCAGTCACATGGGTGAGGAGAAGGGGACGGGGGCAGGGGGGTCCACAATCCAGTGCTTCGAGGCTTCGAGGCTAACACGGGTGATATGTATTCGGGCGAGTGCTTTGCGAATGCTCACTGAGGAAGCAGCTAGGACAGAGCAGGCCAAGGGTCCTCAGAGTTTCCAGGGCCAAGCTCTGGGGCCACAGAGGGGCTGGGCCAGTCAGGGTCTGGACTGACCAGCTGCACTCTTGGCCTTGTACAAGAGGGCCACGTGGGCTGGGTGGTCTCTCAGGTCGATCCACACCCCAGGGTCCCAGGCAGGCTGCAGGAACGCGAGTCCCCGTGTTCCCATTGGGGAGCTCTGAGTCCCACTCATGAAAGGTCTGGCTGGCCAAAGGATCAGCAGCCCTGTGTGTCCTACCCGATCGTCCTGGGAATGAGAGCACAGTGGGGGAGGGCCACTGGGGACTGGGGGCTGAGGGTGGCAGAGGGAAGGGCCTCCTTCTGAATTGCCATTTGGGGCTGAGTGTCAATGGTCCAAAAAAGGGAGGCAGTTAAGGCTGGACTGAAGGACCCTGGCCCTGGGCAAAGCTGGCCCAGTAGGACCTGGGTTTACAGCCTCGACCCTAGCCACGTGCCCATGGACACGGTGGTCAGCCAGCCAGCTGCCCTGTTGCATCCGTGCTCCGAGGCTGGGATCTCAGAATTCTCATGCCCATCCCAGGCTCCTTGGCCCCCAGGGGGTCTCTGAGCACGTGGTGGCATCTGCATCAAGGATGCTGGACCTGTGTGAGCTGGGAGCTGCCCCCCAGGTGCTGGAGCCCGGGGCAGAGAGGAAGCAGGGAGGGCAGCTTGCTGTGGTCTGGGGCAATGACAAGCTTTGAGGCCAAGTTTCATGGATGCACCAGGCACAGGAAATAAGTGCTCTCTTTGTCAGGGGGTCCAAGGGCAGAGCCCCCTCCCCCAGACTTGGCAAGTGCTCCGGCCCGCGGGGCTGAACATTCAGGAGAAATTGGGCTTGCTCTAGTCATTTTCTGGGGGACAAAAATATAGGACTAAAATGTGCAACTGAGGCTCATAGGGGACGAGGGGAAAAGAAGGAATGAGAAGAGAGAACGCTTGGGAAGACTGGCCGAAAATGACGGGACGTGGCAGTCAACAGAGAAATCCAGGATGGACAGGAAGGGCAGCCCCTTTTCTGCTCTGCAACCGCCGAGAACGGACACTTAGGTTTCCACCAGTCCAAACTTCCTGTTTTAGACCGAGAGAGTCATATCGCAAAAAAAAGCACACACCTTAATCTTTAGCAGAAGAAATCATATAATTTGGGTTTACAGAAACGGGGTGTTTGTATCTGAGGTTGACTTTTCAAAGGGATCCCATTTAGACGGAAGGGAAACTGGAAGTCCTTACACCACACCTGGCGGCTCCGGCCGAGGGAGGAGGTGTGAGTGGCTGTGTTTGCAAATGCTCCTCGATGGGCCACACCAGCTCTTCCTCATGCAGCTTCTCCCTGGCTGCCCCAGAGGGACGACTTTCCTGCCTCCACACGTGTGTAAGCGGCCTCGGCACAGGCACAGGGCGGTTCTCAGTCTTGCTACTACCTCGTGTGGGTTTGAGAAAGAGGTGAAGCCCGTTCGCTGGGATCCGCAGGTTTGTGGTGCCCTCGGGGACCTCCCCACGCAGGTCTCCAGTGGGAGGCTGGACCTCCCAGCGCCTTCGCACATGACTGTCTTTGGCCTGGAGCGACCAGGCTGTGCGTCTGGGGCACCCGCCTGCTAGATCACCTACCGCCGCCCCGGGCGAACGCCGAGACGTCCACCACGAGACCCGATCCACACGATGTGGTGGCACCGCCACTGTCTGTACTTAAACTTACACTCTTCCTTTTAAGGGCAACTTGGGCGATTTTTTTCTCTTCTTGTTGGGACGCTGTTATTCTTTTTTTTTTTTTTCCAAACAATACAAGAAATAAATAGAACACCTGTCTTAAATGCAACTGAAACTCAAATTTAACAAAAACACATGATTGTCTGGAAAACGGGCAGCAGTGACAGCAGGATTCGTTGGGGGGGGACGCGGGGGTATTTGGCACATTAAAAATCGCCCCACTCCCTGGTTATCGATCACACAACACACAACCTTATTACACGGTTTTGGTCCTTCACTGGATACTTATATTAACATTATTTCTTCACAATAAGAATGTCTAACGCCAAAAATACTGTTAAGGAGGAAATAAAATAAGAAAAGAAATGAATTAGAAAAAATTACAAGTTATATACAGATTAAGGTAAATTCCATCAGGGAAAACATTATTATTTGAAATTGGCCCCTACGGAAATAATTTAAGCCCACCCGATGGAGAAGCAGACCCGTCCGAAGAGGCGCCGACCGTGGGTCGGGCTGTCTTCGCTCTTTGCGGCAGCTCGGTCAGCCTGGACGCCCTTCCGTGCTGGAGCCGGGTCCTGCCCGCCAAGGACCTGTGCGAAGAGTGGAAGCGGCAGCTGTGTCCTGGATCCGGGGTCTCCGACGCACTAGAGCTTGGCGGCCAGGAGCAGGGGAACCGTGGCGTGCCCCCGACGGCAGCCACAGGGGTGCCTGCTTCCTTCCTTTTGGCCATCTGACTGGGGTGAGTGAGGGTGGGGGCTGGAGATCCTCCGGACGTGGCCAGCAGGCCTTGCCTTCCGAACAGTGGGGTGGCCGAGGCACAGACCATGGGGGCAGGAGCATCAGGTGCCTGGCCCACCTCTGCACTGGGGACCAGAGCCACCGTTCCGACCTTCCCCATACAATTGGGGGGACTTGGTGGGGGCCACGAATCACACGTCACACAATGACAGGCACATCTCCCAGTCCCAGCCTTGGGCCAGCCCAGGACACCATATGTTAGAATTCCTCTGCACAGTCTGAAACTGCCCACAGGAGCGGACCCCATGCCCCTCGGTTCTGCCTCGGAGGCACCCGGAATCACCTTGGCTTTACAAATACGGGCAGGGATAGAAAATTTCTCCATTATTTACAGAACAAAGAGCACACCCAAACATAGCGCCGGCTCTCAGGCACGCTTGGGTTTGCAAATAAGCTGAGATTTCAAAGCAATGCAAAATTACTTTTAAAAAACAATTTGCAAGTCATTTGTTGATTTTTTAAAAAATACTGTCTATTTTTTAAAACCACATGCTTAAATAGACTCTGTTGTCAATAAGATTACCAAAAAGGTTATTCTCGTAATTTTCATTATAAAAACCGTTTGGGCCATCTCCCCCTTGAGAGCACTGTGTCTGTCCATTCCAAGATGCTGCACGGTGCCCAGAGTGGCCCACCGGCTTCAGTTTGGGATTAAAATCCCACCCTCGCCCACTGGGTGGTTCCGCGAGGCAGCCCTGGAGCCGTGCGGGAAGGCTGTGCTCTGTGCTGTTCCCAAACGCTGTTCTCAAGACCAAGTCTTAGAGACGGTGAAACTCAGTGACCGATTCAGGGACTTCCCGGCTCTGAGTTTTCATTGGAAAAGTCAGAATTGAACCATGGGGGGGGTGGGGACAGACACTGAGGAGTGGTCAAAAGCAGGTGACAAGGGGGTCTCCCTGGCCCAGGCGTGCCGGCTCCCTGAGGCTCTCGCCTCCATCTTCCGAAGCTGGGATTTCTGTTGGGATGTGGGGGGCCCTGCGGTCGCCTTGCTTGGACTCTGACCCCAGCCCCTCCTGGGCTGGTCAGAGGTGGTTGATGGGGTTAAAGGCTCCGGACTCCGGTGTGGCTCCCGAGATGTTCAACCAAGCGTCCAGAGGGCTCTGGGAGGAGGTATGGAGAGGAGCATCCTCCGAAAGGGACAGCATCATTGCATACGCCTAGTGGGGGAGAGAACACACACACACAGGACAAGCAGGTGAGCCGTGTAGGTTGGGGTCCTGCAGATCCAGGCTGGCTCCGTCCTTGCCCCCTCCTGGTCTCCCACTGCCCTCTGGCCAGACTCAGCCTTGCCCAGATCCAGGTGGGGTGGGAGAGTGAAGACGCCCCCCCGGCCTGGAAGAGGAAGATGTGAGTGGAGAGCAGGGAGGGAGGAGGGCACCTGCTGGCGCCAGTGCAGAGGGGCGCCAGCATGCCATGGCCCCAGCCAGGGGCCTCTGTGCACAGGGGGCTCCTTCAGCTTCTTTGGGGTGCTTCACCCCGCCGCAGTCACCTTCCCATCTCCCCTCCCCCACTTTTCTCTGCCTGGTGATCAGCAGAAACTTATGGGCAAGTGTGTACTTTGGGAGGGCCCTGGGAATTGCTGGTAGTTATTGGTAAGACCCCCGTCAACAAAAGTGGGTCCCTGACTGGTGGGGCAGGGGGCCGGCTGCACCGGAGAGCCTGGGGGACTCCTCTCTAGACAGCTGCGGTGACAGCACAGAGCTGCTTCGGGGAAAAGGACGTGCAGCATTTCTGAGCCACATGCAGATGTGTTTCCTAGCCCAGAGCGTGGCTTCGACAGTCCACAGGACATCTTTCTGCAGCAAGCCATAGGGCATGAGGTGACAGACCTGGGGCAGCTTGGAGCAGGGCATGGGTGACAAAGAAGCCCAACCCTCGTCCCACCCGAGTCAACACTCTGGACGGAATTAGTAAAAAGACGAAGACAGACATGCAGACGGTTTTTGCTGAGACTCGGGCTGGGCTGCAGAGCGCTGAACGAGATGCGGGGCTTCCAGACTTAGAGCAGCAGGGGGCAGGGTCCTGCGGCCGCTCACACTAAGGAATAGAGACGAGAAGTGCGTGGGGCCAAGCCTGGTGCCCTCGCTGACCCGTCACAGCTCCACCTGACAGGGCAGCCTCCCTGGACAGAAGCCTGGGCTACCGGTCATTCTCGCACGGAACGCAGAGAACGGGCAGCCAGCGCAGCCTCGGGGGCTGGAACCCGCTTGTGGAGACCTCCCACTGGGGACAGGAGGACGGTGACCATGTGTCTGTCAGCGCTCCTGGAGGAGCTCCGGTGTGGGCGGCAGCTCACGTTCATTTGCTTTCAGCCTCTCCCTGCCCCACTCCTGCTTTCCAGGAAGTGGCAGTCATTTGGCATCTCTCTAGCTGAGGCAATGAGCAGAGGAGGACCAGTGGCCTTGGGTGTCCCCCAGGCAGGCAGAGGGTGGCCACAGCGAGAGGTGAGGCTGTCCCTGTTGGAGGAGGTGTGGTTGCCCCCACCGCCAGCCGTGGGAGGGGGAGAGGGTGGGCTCTGCGGGTACCTACCTGGTTCTTAGCCTGCCTGTACAGGGTCTGTTTTAAAGCCTCAGAATCTAGGGTGGAATTAAGCACATCTTTAACTTCAAACGCTTCCTCAGCTGCTCTGCGGAGATCCAGCCCCTTCCCAAAAGTCGGCACGGGCTCCAAAGCTAACAGACCGCTCGGCTGCTCCTCAACACACCTGCACCAACGACCGGGAGAGGGCCTGGCGTTAGCTGGTCTGGCCTCTGGCCGTTTCTCTGATGTCCCACAGCCGGCTCCGTGCCTGCATGCACGCCACTGTGTCTCCACGAGCCACATGCACAAGGAGACAGACACACAGACACACGGACACCTGGACGGAAGCCATACGGATGCAGAACAACAGATAATGGCCACGAAAGAGGGTGAGTACGTGCACACACATGGCAAGCAGCAGGCGGGGCGCCTGGCCTCAGGGGACGGAGGACAGATTGGGAGGGCTTCGTTGCCGAGACTCTGGGCAACTCCGGAGGGGCCCAGGGTGGGAGGACATGGGCCATCCCTGAAGGGCCTCCTGGAGGATCCTGGAATGCTGGCAGCATCACCAGGGCCAGAGGTAGGAGGCGAGCAGACGAGACGTGGGGGAAGTGGCTCTGGTAGGCACAACTTCCAAAACTATGGGTGCTCAGCCCCTGTGGCACATGGTCCCACTAGTGGCTGGACGCCACTGCCCTGGGCCTGTGGGCAGTGTGCAGCTCCACTGCAGGGCCAGAGGTGGCCCTGGGTCTAGGACCTGACCCCTCTCAGTGCGGGGAAATGCCTTCCCCTCCCACACTCTGCTTCCGGGCCCTGAAAGTGTGTGTGTGTGTGCATGAGTATGTGTGTGTGTGAATGTGTGTGTGTGGGTGAGCTGGGGCCCCTGATCCCCTTTCCTCAGGCCCTGACTCACCCAGGCCTGCAAGCAGAAGCCCCTGATAGGAGGGAGGGTGGACCCAGTTGGGAGGGTGTCGGGTCCTCGGGCGTTTAAGAGTGAGTCACCCTGGGGGTGCTCTGCCCCCTCCCTGGCTGGACCCCAGCAGGTGAAGCCGGCACCCACCTTCGGGTGTGGTCGAAGCCCACAGCCAGGGAGGTGGGAGGCTCCTCGTCCTCGTCCTCGTAGGCACCCTGGGGCTCAGGCGTGGGGGACACAGTGTCGTCCTGGGACTTCCCCGCCAGACTGTCGTCATCGTCCTCCTCCAGCTCCTCCTCCTCCTCCTCTTCATCCTCTGGCTTCCCGCTGGCCAAGCCTGGACACTGGGAGCTGCCGTCCAGGTCCTGGACTTCTGGCCTGAAATGACACGGGAGGAAGTTGGCCGTGGACCCCAAAAGGCTAGCGACTCGGCTCTTCCCCCACTGCCGCCCACCTTGGCTCTCCCAGCCCCTCCAAAAAGAGGCTGCCTTCACGGTCACGAGAACCCTGGGCTGCCATCCCTGTGGAGTGAGTGAGTCAAGGAGACCAGTATGCCCAGTGAACTCGTGGCAGGGGATGGGCAGGGCCGGTTCAGCGGCAGGGCTCTTGTTATGCTGGAGTGGACACCGGGCCATTGAGGGGTTCAGGGCAGGTGTGCATGTCGTGGGAGGAAGCCACAGCTGGCCTGGCGGGAAAGGGTCCTGGGCACTGGAGCTGGTGTCAGCCCTACGTAAGATGAGCCCTTGGGGAGGCTCGGCACAGTGGAGGTTTGCCCACGGAGGCTTGCTCCTTCCTCGAGGACACAAGGACTGGGGGGGACCCAGGGTGAGGGACCCCTGCAGATGGAGGGTCTGGGATCCCAGGTTCTGCAAAGTGAGGGCTGGGCTGTTGTCAATCATGGAAACCGGCCGGGATGAGCTTGTCTCAGAGCCATCTGGAGTCTGTCCTGAAACCCAGACCCCACCTCCTCTCCCTCAGGGTCACTCCAGCTGGGTGAGACTTTTCCACTCTGGGTCCTTGTTATTAAAAGGAAGAAACAACGTGCTGGGTGAGGGTGAGCGCTCTCACTTCCTTCAGAAAATCCCACCCACCTGCCTTTGTTTGGTCTGTCTGCAAGTCGGTGACTAACAGCCGTGTCACACTGGGCTGGGCCCAGGGAAGCTGGGGACAACCTGGGCAGGTGTCCACCATCAGGCGGAGGGGGACAGGGGGCAAGGCCCACACTTCCTGAGCCCAGGTCGGGGCGGAGTTCTGAGCCCCCAGGCCCCGCTCCTCCTGGACCTTGCACAGCCCCTGGGAATGGTCCACGACTGTCAGGGGCGACAGGATTCCTGCTCTGGGCATCAAGGTGGGGGGCACATCCTCCCCGAGTGACCACCGATCCCCAAGTGTGGAGCTGTGTGGAGGACGCATCCTTGCACAGAGCGACTGAGCTGGGGAGACCCCTGATCGCCCGGCTCTCCGCCTTCCACATCTTCATTTCTTGTCTTTTCATGAGAAAGTATGTAGACACTGACAGCTGACCTGCCTTCCAGGACAGCTGAACCCGGACATGCTTCCCTTGTCTCTGGTCACCTGTGCTGTTTGCTGGGCACATGTCCGTCCGCCAGCAGTGAGGGCTCTGGAGCCAGGCAGCTAGGCTGGGACCCGGCTCCTGCCTCCCTCCCTGGCTCTGGGCTGGGGGAACTCAGGCAAGTCTTGCCACCTGGGAGCCTGCGCCCTCTCGGCAACATGAGAACAGCCCCATGCTGAGTGCCCAGTGAGCAGCACAGTGGGGGCCCCGGTGCTGAGACTCAGATTATGCTCAGGGTGCAGCCCACGTGTCCTTTATTCACCTGAGCATGCGGTGTGGTTTCCGTGAGCCCCTCTGTTTGGGAGCAGGGCCCACGCGCTCTTCATCCTCATGCCCCGCCCCACCCTGCAGACCCTCTGCTCCTTGTTAGGAGGTCTGCATCAAGCAGAAGCGCTTGGGGGGCGTCCAGCTGGGACAGAGTAGGGGGTCCGCAGGCTGGCGTGGGCTTCAGACAGCAAAGATGGGGGCAGTGTCCAGGCCTCTGAACGGCTGCCTGGCATGCGTGAGAGTCCTGGGGCTGCCGTAACAAGCACCGCAGCTGGGGCTTAAACAACAGGAGTCCGTCCTCTCCCCTTCTGGAGGCTGGAGGTCTGAGGTCCAGGTGCGGGCAGGGCTGGCTCCCTCTGAGGCCGTGAGGGAGAGCCCATTCCAGGCCTCTCCCAGCTCCTGGTGGCCTGCTAGCATCCTCGGCTTGCAGATACATCAGCCCACCTCTGCTTCATCTTCACACGGGGTCCCCCCATGTGCATGTCTGTGTCCAAATTTCCCCCTTTCACAAGGACGCCAGTCCTAGTGGACATGGGTCCCCCGTCCCAGTGTGACCTCATCTTAACTAATTACATCTGCAGCGATCCTCTTCCCAGATGAGGTCACGTTTTGAGGTCCTGGGAATTTGGACTTGAATGCAGCAATTTTGGGGGGACACAATGCAGCCCAGGGGCTTAAGAGGTTTTGGGGCCAGGAAGCCTGGCAGGCCCTGAGTTCTCACTGATGGTCAAGAAAAGGAAACTACTTCTGGATGAGAACTGGATCATGTTAACGTTGACTGCCAACGGAGCCGCTGACGTCCTATCGCCTTACGCAAATTGCTTAATTCATGTCGACCGGGACGTGGTTCCCACTTCCGACAATGATGTGGGGGCATCTCCTGCGAGGCTCCCTGGCTCCCAGGGCGAGGCCTCAGCAGCACAGGCTGTCTGACGGCCTGGGTTCTCAGCCCAGCTCTGCCCTGAGCTCTCCGAGGGACTTGGGGCCAGCCTCCTCCTCTGTCTGAGCCTCACCGCCCCCTCCCCACCCCGGGGCTGTGGATAAAGCCATGGTGGTGGCAAAGGCGAGGGATTAGGATGGTGCTGTCCCCTCTTCACCCTTGGGATAGCCCCTCTGCTGTGGTGGGTCTCGTGGAGAGTCCTCCCTGTGGCTGAGAGCCGGGTCTGCTGCCCAGGCTCGCACGTGGAGGCCTCTCCTGAGCTCCTGGGCCCCCCCAGGCGCAGCTGCCCACCCCAAGGAGGATGCCCTTGACAAATCCTTGTCGGGTCTTTGTCTGGCTTTGTCCTGGGTGCAGGGACCCACAGTCTAGGGGACAGTTTTATAGCCAGGACATGCCTTGTGGCCCGGTTGTGGGGCTTCTGTAAGGCCCGGTACCTGGGCGCTGCATCTGTGCCTTTTTGCTCAAAGAGCTGACAACTGTTGAATGGAGCTGCAGGGCGTTGCCTGAATGCAGGCTTGGTGTCCCCAGAGGATAGGGGCTAGGTTCCCGTGAGACCATTGTGCACGTGCCGGAGGCCGAGGAAACGAGACATTTGTCGCTGAAGAGGGGGTAGGGCTGCTCTCCCGTGGGGACCCTCCACTGCCGGGCAGGGGTGAGGCTCTGAGAAGCACAGCCCACAGCCAGCCTCTCCCACCGTCCCCTCTGTGAGCCCACCCAGCTCTGATAGAGGAAGAAGCCGAGGCCCGGCAGGTGAGTGAGGTCCCCTTCCCGCGGGCATGGATTTAGGACTGGGCAGCACCAGAAACGGTCCAAGTGCCGTTCATTTATCCATATGACACATCTTCCCAGGGCCTCTGCCCTGTCCCCTGGGAGGACTCATGACAAGGAAGATGCAGCCCACCCTGGAGGAGCAGACAGGCTCCTGGGGAGCCGGGTCTCCTGGGGGACCCTCCGCACTTGCCCGAAGAGGGTGGGTGGGGAGGGATCTGGGCTCTGACGGCTGCAGAAGTCCAGCTCACCCTTGGCCAGCGCGAGGCTGGGGCGCTGGCTCCGGGTTCTGGGCCAGGCTTTGTTGGCACCCCAAGAGCCAAGCCGTCCCACTTCTCTGGGCCTCATGTCCCTTCTGCAAAATTAGGGGCTTGCATCTCTGGGGTCTTTTGGAGTTTGAGGCATCTCTGGTTCTCTGCTGGCTAGGCAGCACCCGCTTTCACCCAAGGAGAACCTCTTCCCGGGGTCTGAGTGTCCCTCCAGGGGCCCAGGGTAAGTGCTGCACCCCAAGCACTGGCATTCAAGATCGTGCAGAACACCCTCCACACTCTGGAATCTGAATTCCGCCGTTTTCCTGCCTATATGTGTGCACACCTGTGTGTGTACGTGTGTGTGTTTGCGTGTGTGGGTTTAAAGGGGCAGCATTCTTGTTTGGGAGCCTCACCTGGCTGACGGCCCTGCACGTCTGTTAATAAACATCGAGGCCGAACCGCGCCTGATGCAGTTTAGGCAGCGTGCCGGGGGCTGCACTGAGTGTGCAACATGCACCATCAGTCAAGGGTGCTTACTCTTTTTTCTTTTTTGAGGAAGATTAGCCCTGAGCTAACATCTGCCACCAATCCTCCTGTTTTTGCCGAGGAAGACTGGCCCTGAGCTCACATCCGTGCCCATCTTCCTCTCCTTTATATGTGGGGCGCCTGCCACAACACGGCTTGACAAGCAGTACGTAGGTCTGCACCCAGGATCTGAACCAGTGAACCCCAGGCCACCAAAGCGGAATGTGCGAACTTGACCACTGCGCCACCGGGCCAGCCCCAAGGGTGCTTACTCTTACCATCCTCTCCAGATGGGGAAACTGAGGCAGGGAGGAGGAACCCCTTGCTAAAGCTCCCCCAGATTCCAGGTGGCAGAGCTGGGGCAGGAACGGGCACAGGTTGCAGAGCCCATGGGCCTCTCCCTCTGCTGTGGGCCCCAGGCCCCTGTCCAGGTGTGGCCTGGGGGCTGGTGCTGGGGTGGGGTGTGCCTGCTCAGGGGCTGGGGTGGAGATGCCTGCTCTGGGTGTGGCCACAGAGGCGGGCTGTGGAGTCTAGCCGTCCCTGGGGCCCGGGGTGGGTTTCTTACCGTTTGTCTGTTCGCGTTGACGCTTGGTTCATCTCACTATTGGCAATAAAGTTTCTGATTTCAGAGAAATAGGAGTCTTCTTTCTCGTCTAAAAGTGCGTGGTTGTCCGACTCGGAGGTGGGAGAGGAGGCGCTGGTCCCCAGGTGGTTCGTGAGGACCCCGGCGTGCTGGCTCACTGCGGGGATGGGGGAGCGTCAGAGGAGGGGCGGCCGTCCGCTTCCTCGTCCGTCCCTCCTCCACCTCACCTCCCTCCCAGTTGCCCCATCTTTCGAGTTCTCCCTGCCCTGCTCTTGAACTCCACCACAGCCTCTTGTGGCGCCTGCCTGGCCTGTCTGCATGGGGGTCTCCCGGGATGGGGCCCCACCTGGCACATGCTCGTGTTCGTGCTTCTTGAGGTGTCTGTCCAGGTTGGTCTGCTGCCCGAAGCACCGGTTACACAGGTGACATTTGAATGGCTTCTCCTTGTTGTGAATGTTCCGGACATGCCGCTGAAGGTTGGAGGAGATGCTGAAGGAGCGGTCGCAGTACTTACACCTGGAAGACACACGAGGCTCAGAGGGGCCCCCAGACCCCGCCTGCCGTGGGCTGGATGCATGAGGATCCCTGGAGAGACTGGGCCCAGGGTGCCAGGTACTGCAGGGTGGGGACAGCAGCCAGGCCTCGCAGAGACCCCCTGAGGCCGCTGGGGCACCCAACTTGAAAGGTGGTCATGGTGAAGCTGCGCCTAGAAACAGCCACGGCTCCAAGAAGCAGGGGCTCTCCCGCTCTTGGCCTGTGGGTGGGATCATGTTGGAATGTGGCCCCGGGTAGGCAGAAGGACCCTCTGGCCTATGCCACTGGATGTGTAGCACCCGGACCCCCCAGCGCCTCGCTTCCTCTCTGCTGTCTGGTCCCCCCAGTGCGGAGGCCCCAGGCTTGGCAGCCACAGCCCAAGGGCAGGATGCTCCCAGCAGCCTCAAGGGGGCGGCCGCGCACCACGCAAAGATGCTCTGGCCGCTTTTCCCGGGAGGAGTTGCCTGCAACTTTCCTCCGGGCAGAGACCCCCACCCCGGCACTGGGAGAGCTGGCCTGGTCTTTGGCCCCCACCCTGGTGGGTCCTCGGGCAAGCCCCGTCTCACGTGGGGCCTCAGCTTGCCGTCCATTAACTGGGGGCGCTCTTCACCTCCTAACTGCCCTGAAGGTGGGGGGGCTCCCCAGCCCTGCCCCCCGTCAGGCCGCCTCCTCTACACGGACCACAAACAACCACACCCTCCCCTTTCGGTTGAGGGTGTGCCAGCCCTGCCTGCCCAGTTTATCTTTGTGCCCCTCTGTGGTGGTCACCGGCTGGCAGCCAGCATGCGCACTTGGGAAAATTAGAAAAAGACGCTCCTTCCTCCAGATGGTCAGTTGCACCTGTCGGAATATTGTCGTGACATGTTCAGAGTTTATCAGAGCACAGCGTTTCTCTGCCAGGAAACTGTTGTGATAAACAGGCTAGGGCGTCCACAACCTGACCGGCGCCCCCTTAGGTGTGGGGTCCTCATGGGGGCACGGTCTTCACGACCACGCAGAGGCCCCGAGGGTGGGGAGAGGGAAGCTGTTCTCCTCTTTTCAGTGGGGCCGCTGAGAGCCAGGGACTGACTGCCCAGGCACTGGGGAGCTGGATGGTCAAGCCAGAAACAGGGAGAGCGGGAGCCGGGGGAGCAGGTGGATGAGAGGGCCCTGCGCCTGTAAGGTCTGCAGACACGCGCACGCTGCCTCCTCCTGGCGGCAGATCCAAGCAAAGGCCGTGATGGCTTACTGACAGGCGCTCCTGCCGCTCTGCACACTCCCTGGAGCACAGCCGGGAGAAGCCTGACTCAGCGGTTTTCAGTTGCACAATTGTGTGGGTGTGTGCACATGTGCAGGTGTGCATGCACACAGTGCGTGTGTGTTAGTGTGCACATGTAGGCACATGTGTGGGTGTGTGCATGTGCATGCATACAGGTGTGTGCACATGGGGGTGCTGGCACCTGTGTAGTATATTTCCATGTGTGTGCATGTGCACGTGTGTCCGTGTGCACACTCTCGCACCTGGTCTTCAGAACGCCTCCAGGGATGCTTATCTGAGCCTCGGAGGCACGTGAGCACTTGAAACAGTTGTCTATATGCTCATGTATTTTCCTATTTTGGAAACAAAACAAGTTTCCACAGAGAGACAAGAGGCAAGTGCAGCGGAACCCCGGCTGGTCGAGTCCTTCAGGAGGCAGAGTCTACGCAGCCAGTCCCAGCGGGGGGTGAGCGTGGGAGACTGATGTTTATCCAGAGAGGCCTGGCTGCCAGGTGCCGGGGACCTGTCCGAAGTATGGCAGCCTGGCGTTCCTACAGGAGGCCCCCACCCCCACCCCGATTGGGCTGGAGGCCTGAGGCCGAGCTCCAGCACAGCATACTGGTCACGTGCATGGGGTCACATGGATGGAGACGTGCCTGAGGACACTCAGGGAGCCCTGGCCTCCCATCCAGGGCCAGGCCAGCAGGGGCCGTGGGAGAGTGGCCCTCACAGCACCACCCTGCCCAGCACGTGAGGTGCCTGCCCGACATCTGACATTCAGAGGCCTGGTCCTGCCCAAGGAGCCCGATGGACCCTCAGTGTCCCCCGGAGCCTCTCTGAGGCAGGAAGCTGTGGCCCCCACGGGTCGCCAGGGCCCAGCAGCTGCACGTTCCCTGCACGAAGGGGCAGCAGCCTCCTGAAACTCTGTCCTGGGAAGCTTACAGTCTCCAAGTTTCCCCCGGCCCCAACCTGCCGGATGACACTCGGTTTGATGACAGTCCCACAGAATGGGGAGGGCCCTGTCAAAAGGTGTCCCCAGTCTCTCATAGTTTGACTCTGGGGCCTCATTCCTTCAGTTCCTGAAGCTTCCAATTTTGCCTGAGGCCAGGCTAACTCTGGCTTCCTCTGCAACAGATGGGCCAAGAGCTGTTAGCGATCTGCACACGGGCTCCTCAGGCCACGGTCCCTGGGTTCCTCCTGAACAACCCTGGCCTTCTCTGCTCCTCGGTCCCCAGGATGTGCCTGTTGGGCCCCTGCTCCTCCTTGGGCCACTGAGCTGCCTCAGGCCCCTGGGAGCTCTGGACATTGGTCACAGCCTCTCCTCCCGCAGCCTCATGACGTTCCGGGGCCCCATGTGGACCCACCACCCTGGAAGCCAATACCGGGAGGCACCAGCTGCTCTGTTCTTCTCGCCTGCACTGTGAGGAGGAGTGGGGCCAGGCTTGAGCCCTCTCTGAGGCCGGGTCAGAGATGCCGGGGTGATCCCCACACAACAGTCCAGAAAGGTGACTTCTACATCCCAGCATGCACCATCTCACTCCCCTGTAGGCACATCCTTGAACTTACAGAACCCCGGCCCCTGGGGTCCCAGGCTCCCATCCCGCCCTGCAGGACAATGGCTCAGGAAGGACCAAGTACGAGCCCACACTGGCCCTCAGCCTAGCTCTGGGCATCCACCTCTGCCCACTCAGCAGCCTTCCCCCTGGGCCGAGCTTGCACCCACCCTCAGTCTGTATGTGCCCTCACACACGCTCGCACACGCCCGCACACACAGTGTTCCTGGTTTCTTTAGAAATGCAGGAGCCTTTGACAAATTTCACCAAACAGCTGCCGCATAAGCTCTGAGCGGTGGGAATCCTGAGCCAGAAACAGGGCTGGATAAGGAGCTTGTTCCCAGAAGGAGAGAGCAGAGCTCCTGTGTGAGGTGCTCTCCCTACAACCTCCGTGGGGCCGGGTGTCTTCGGGAGGGAGCCACACATTGGATTTGGTCGCAGCGAGTCCTGCATGCGGCCCTCTCCTGGTTCTAATCTACATAAATGGCCCAGAAGTCCATTTGAAATCTAGGGGAGCAGCCAGCCCAGGCTGCGAGGGAGCAGGGTTCTCTGAGCCGCTGGGATCTGCGTTGTAAATAAGCTGACAGGCGCCTGGTGAAATTTATGGCTGTGCTGTCTAGAATAACGTGCCATTGCAAAGCGACGAGAATGAGAGCCCAGAGTGGGCTGGCCACTGCAGCGTGCAGCCGAGGCCTGGAGGGGACCTTGCTGTGACCGTGTCTGCCGCAGCCCCCGGGAAGCCAGTCACGGTGGAGACACAGCAAGGGCTGGAGAGGGTCAAATGGCCCCTGGGCGAGCGGCAGCATCCTCCCTGGGACCCAGGAGGGCCACACCAGCCATCCAGGGAAAAATGCTTTCGGTAATTGTAAAAGGGGGGAAGGGAAAGAAAGAAGAGATTTTGAAACACAGCCCTAAAAATAAAACTGACAAAGAAAGAGGACACATACGGCCTCCTCCAGCCCCTGACGGAAAGGGTAGCTGGACCTGGCTTGGACGTTTTGGCTTAACACAGGATGGGAGCCCAGGAGGAAATGAACTTCAGATCAAGAGGCCTATGTCCTGAAAGTGGGGACCCCAGGTCCCGCCAGGCGCCCACAGGGCAGCCCATGAAGGCTCGCTCCACAGTGTGACTCAAGACAGCGCCACACAGCATCCTGGAGGGGCCCCCGAGCACGGCTGCCAGGTTGAGACAAGGAAGCAGGCCTGGACCCTCTTTCCCAGCTCAATGTTTACATGTCTCCTATCCAAAATCTCAACAAGCCCTCCACACTGGAGCTTTAAGAAAGCCGAGCGTCATCACTCGAGGATCTCTAAGCCAGGAGAAGCCATCAGCCAAGGACAAGAGCGAGGACAAGGACGAGGACGGCTCGCCAGCCACGGCCGGGCAGGAGGTTTGACTTTCCCTCCAGAAAGCATACCAGTCTCACTAAGGCGTCTTTCTTTCCCACGTCAGGGCTTTGAAACACATTCCGAGCGACTCTAGATGACCGGAGGCAAGGACTTCGAAGGGAAGAGCCTTCCAGCGTCATCTATTCTACTGTCCCGTCACTCTGGGCAGCCCACGAGAGGCCCCACTGCCGCCTGGCTGCGCAGGGCCTGTGTCATGCTGGCCTCTGCACGCACTTGCGGCTGGCCAGGGGCGGGGCTCACACCGGGCAGGCGGTCTTAATCAGCTTTGCTGGGGTGGGGGCCCCTTCTCCCTGGGGGTCCTGTGCCCAGCTCCCGGGTTTCTGCAGACAGACGTGCGCATTTTCCTCTTTCAACCTAAATCCTTCCAGTGATCAGAGGGAGCCCAGAAACCCCTAGTGATGTCAAAAGGAGAGTCATAGACCCCAAACTCCTCATCATGGCGTCGCCTTGAGCCAGATAAAGTCAGGATTTGCAATGCAAACTTTCAAAGCAATTATTGTTCCACAAGTTGAAACTCACAGATTGGAAAGAGCAAAAGAAATCAATGATAATTAAATTCCCTATAAACAGGGCCCGACCCTCTGGGGGCTGTAACACGCAACACTGTCCAGAAGTCGAGTCTTGTTACAGAACAAACATACAGCTCGTTTTCGGGGAGTGGACCAGACCAAATCAATCTTTCTGTTGCCAGCCTTTGTTAACTTCTAAGTCTCATTTTCAGGGGGAAGAGAGGGGCCTGTGTGTTGGAAAGAGGCTGCGGGCACTGACCAGACAACTGGCAAGTGGTGTGAACCGTCACTGTCCAGCCAAGACAGGACGTGGCCCTGTGGTGGTTGGAAAGTGGGGACTCTTGTGTCTCAGAGTGAGGCATGCATGGCGACCACGACACGTGCAGGGCCCCATGCGGCTGCCCTCCCCAGGGAGGGGGAAACACACCAAACATCCAGGGCCAAAGGGTGACCCCAAGCTTGGTGTGGCCAGAGTATAGGAATCCTAAGAAGCTAGCTTCAAACCATGGCAAACTTATTACCCACAGCTGCTGCTCGCAGACACATGCCAGGATGACCTCCTGACACCTGAACCAGCATTTCCCCGGTTTGCTTCATAGTCACCATCACCTGGCTCTCATTTAAAATGCCGACTCCCAGTCCCCTCCCTGGGCGGGGTCCCCAAAAGCCGGGTTGTCACCCTCAGCTGTTCTCCTGCCCGATGAAGGCCCAAGGGACCAAGGGCACCCCATCTGCTTCTCCTGGAGCCAGAATGCTAAGCCGTGGGCTTGGACCCCGGGCAAGTCATGGGGCATCTCTGAGCCTCAGGCTCCACATCTTTGAAATGGGGAGGACACCTCCACTTGTTCTGAACACAAAAGATGACGGCTCTCACCCCCTGACGTGCTGTGTGGCTGCATCTCTGCAGGCAGAAGCCCAAGCATTGAGCGAGGTGGGGAGCAGACACGTGGTTTCCATCCAGGGCAGTGAAGGGGACCTGAGCGAATCCCTCAGGACGCCCCAAGCCCGGGTTGGGACCTGCATTTGCACGGAGCCCTTTTTCTTCTGAGACAGCCCCCTGACTTAGGCGCCCCCAGCTCACCACCTGGGTTAGGTCCTCCAAGGCCGTCAAAGATGAACAGACTTGGACTGGGTCGGGGTGAGCTGAGGCTTCCCCAGCAGACCACCCCTGGGGGCCTAGCTTCTGGCTGATCCTCCTCTGAGCCCCCTGCCCGGTTGACACCCCGGTAGCAGGTTGGACAGCTGCTTCCAGCCGTGCTCCTCTGTGGTCAGGCAGGAGCCTTCTGGAAGCCCGCCAGGCACCTCCTGCTTAATCTTTACAATATCCCAGGACACAGGGTGGCTGTGGACCAGGAGGGAGGGGCCCCAGGAGTGAGCTGACGCAAGCATGCTGGCTTCCACCTGCCGCCCTTCCTGTGGGTGGGACGGGGAGGGTCGCACCAGGAGCCTGCCTCCCCTGACTCAAACCGGCCGGCTCCTACCTGTACGGCTGCTCCCCGGTGTGCGTCCTCAGGTGTCTCGTGAGGTTTGCTGATCGGGGGAAGATCTTGCCACAGTACCTGGGGTGGAGAGTGTGGGGAGACTGTTAGGCATACTGCCCTTGACTTGGGAGCTGTTCCTCCAGCTCGGGGTCTAGGGCCTGAGGTCACACCTGGGGAGCAGGTGGCCAGGTGGCAGCATCCTGGATTTCTATCTCTCCTTCAGCCCTGGGGCCCAGCTGAGAAGGCTGATTGGCCTACTCCGGCCCGCTCAGGCTGTGAGCCCCCTAAACAGTATCTGAGCTCCAGAGCCCAGCGGTGGTCGAGCTGGCTCGGACTGGCTTGGACAGGCCCGTGTAGCTGGGGACAGACATGGCACCTCTCTTCCCAGTGCAGGGCTTTCTGCTCACTCCCAGAGCTGTGGTTAAACATTGACCTGCACGCCTCAGCCTCAGGCCTCCTGAATTCTGACTGGCTGGGCCAAGGTTGCATTTTCTTGCACTCACATGAACATAGCTTCGTGGGGTCAGGGGAGGTCCCCCACACATGCACACTTTCGGGGAATGATCTCAAGCTGATAATGGACATTTATTGCCTCTACGCTGTACTCGGTGATTGAGCACTTTTTCCTGGATGCGAAGGTTCATGAGCTGCAGTGTGGCACCTGCGGCCACCTCGCCAGGGCCGCCCCACCAGCCCTCAGAGGCTTGCAGTGTCTCACCTGCACGTGTATCGCTCCTTGCCCTTCCTGAGGATGGGGTCCGAGAGCGTCGGGGGCGGGGACCGGAAGTTGAAGGGGTGGTGGGGAAGGGGCTGCAGGGAGCTGCCCGAGTCCGCCTTCAGGGCCGCGAAGCTTTCCAGCTTCTCTGTCATGGTCTCGATGGCTGACATCTGTTGGCATGAGAGCGGGAGAGGCTGTGGGACTCCCTTGGGCCGTGCTCTCTCTTGTAGAGCGTGGACTCAACCCCCCAGGGGCATGGAGGGGTCCTGGATGACCGAGCACATCAGTGGGCCAGGCCAGGACAAGGCCATGTGGGACCTCACGCCATCACTGGAATCAGCGGTCTTCTGGTGTCATCTTGGCCATTGGGCTGGATTCTTTCGCTTTCTGTGGCCAGTCCTGCTCTTGTCTTTCCCTGGAAACCCCTTGCAGCGTAGGGTCTAGGCTGGAACTGGCCTTCACCAGCCAGCCTCACTGCCTGGTTTGGTAGACACGAGTGACTACACATCTCCTTATTTGGAAACGAGCCAGCAGTGACCCACTTGCTTGACCCCTGGCCAGCACTCCTGGTTGGCTAGTTTGGGTAAAAGAATTTTATCTTTGAGTCTTGAATATGAAGATAGCTACCTGAATCTCAGGTGAAGACATGGACCACGGGCCTGGGGCACCACCACCACCTAGTGGCAATAAGCCATAACTGCAGGCAAAACCCTAAAAAGGAATTCAACAGCTCGACTGGATGCCGCCAACCAAATGTTCAAAATGATAATGCCAATGTCACACGGCACAGTGCATCTGATGGACGAGAGGGGCTGCCTCTCTGCTCCTTGGGGATGCCAAGGACTTGCTCAGGGAGGAGAAGGGAACATGGCATCAGTTGTTTCCCCCAGGTGGGCAGAGTTCTGATCAGAATCCTAGAGTGTGCCTGTCCCTCAAGGCCTTGGGACTCGGGGCCCGGAGAGGGGACGGGGCTGATGAAGCTGCACAGGCCTCAGCAGTACCTCCCACGCTCTCCTTCTCCCCATGGAGGTGGGCTGTCCCAGAGTGCCCGCTGTGCCCAGTCCTCAGCTGGCTCTCCCTATACCTTTGCTAAACAAATATTTACAGGAGCCTGTGTCACCTGGGAGACCCCAGAGGAAGGGATGGGGGGAGCAGGACAGAGCAGAAGGGCAGGCATGGTCCAAATGGAGATGGAGAGGGGAGGAAGAGCTTGTGTTTCTCCAACCGCCTTGATCACTGGGAGAAACTGGCCATGGTCACCATGGTGGACCCCAGGCAGCTAGCATCTGAAGAACAGGCACGAGTGGGCAAGGCGAGGGGGTGGAGGAGTGGCTGGCAGCAACACGCCAGGGCCGCTCACTGAGGCTCGCTGCCTCTGAGCAAGGCTTAACGGCAAATACTCGGAGGAGGTTACTTGCTCATTCACAGCAAAGCCTGGGCCACCAGTGAACAAACCCATCATGTCTCACTATGGGGGGTGTTCCAGCGAGCCCTGCCCCTCCACACCATCCAGGGCCCCGCCCTCACCTCCGTGAGGCTCTGTCCTCTAGGTACCCACTCAGAGGACTGCTGGTGGGGACAGAGGGCTTTCTGCTGATGCTACACAGAGGCCACAGCCGTGCCAGCAGCAGAGATATTTTGCAATTTGGGGAACAACCGATTGGTTACAATAAAAACATCCAGAAAGGGGTTAATGAGTAGAAAATGGCCAAGGCAGCCCTGGGACCCTGGCCTGCCAACTGGGCCGCTGGCCAGCTCGGGCTAGGTGGCCGGGCTTCCTTCGGGCTTGGCTGTCCCTGTGGGGCAGCACGTTCCCTCCTCAGACACATGAGGCTCCCCGCTGTGGGCTGCCCTCCCCGTCCCCGCTGATGGACAGATGGAAATTGTCATGTCCCTTGCCACTGTCTAGCCCCTCACTGGTCCCTCCATGGCCTGGTGCACAGACTGCTGTTCACTTGCCTGCAGGTCTCAGCTTTAGCCATAGCCTGGAAGGCCCTGGAACTCTCCACCACTCCAGACTCCCCAGGACCCCTAGAGATGGTAAGCGGTCGCAGCTGGGCAGAAGGGCCTCACCCTGCAGCCCAGGGGGGCTGCACACCTGCATGTTGGGCCTCAGAAGCGGAAGGCCCTTGTGGTGTTCTGCCTGTCACCTGACCAGCGCAGGCTGACATCTTCTATAGCTGTGACCCTGTACTTTGTAGAGACCATCAGTTATCAGGTGCTTTCTGCCCGAGTGATGGCTTGACCTTGGAGTGACTTCATCTCAGACGCCCACTCCCCTGCTCCAGGCCCAGGGGGCAGGCAGCGGGGGTGGCAGGGCCCAGGGAAGTGGGCCCTGGAGGGACAATGGGTGGCCGGCCCCCCCCTCCAGGCCTCTCTTCCTCAGGCCTGGGTGGGTCTCACCGAGGCTGCCCGCAGGTCCTGCCTGCCCGGCCCGCTCCGCCCGATCAGATATTCCCGGCTGAGCTCTCCCACAAACACAAACACAGGATGCGCCTGGCTGGCTTGTCAGCTTTTTCCAGCCCATCCCGAGGAAAATCAGGGGAAGTTATTCGCCAAACTCCGAGGCCCCAGCGAAACAATGGGAGGTGCTAAGTTTAGCTGTGAACCTGGGCAGGGAGAGGGTTTCACAAACTGGGCTGTTTGTCCAAGGCGGGAATCACCAAGAAAGAGAACAATGGCCCAGTCTGGTGTCTGGGTTGGGGCCCGCCCCACAGCTCAGCTCCAGGACCCTCGGGGAGAGAGGGGCAGCCTGTGGCTCCCGGGAGGGCACTGGGCCCCACACAGTGAGGGCAGTGGGCACACAGGGCAGGGAATCGGGGAGACTCAGTGGGGCCCTGGTGCTCAGCCCTCACTTCTGCCACCCCTCTGTGCCCACCCCCAGGAGGATGTGGCTGGAGGGGCAGACCAAACACCTGCAGGCTTGGCAGGGTCCGTGTTATCTTTCCTAGACCCTGATTCTAGTCTTGGCGGACGGCCTGCCACCCTCTGTGGCCCTGGGGAACGGCGCCCCTCCAGCCCCCCACCTCCTGGGACCCTGTGCCCTCAACTCAGGTCCCCCTCCTTCTCTCCTGCTCCCCATCTCCTCATGCCCACTCTGTCCCCTCCTCACTCAGGCTCTTCCTCTCCTGGTCTTTTCTCATGAGCTCCCTCAAGGGCAGCACACCCCGGAAAGGCCTGCTCACATCCACCCCTCGGGGCTGCGTCCCGAGTCTATTCACTTTATGTTTAAATTTCTTGCGTTCACTCCATCCTGCTCTGCCCTCCGCCCCACTCAGGTTCATTCCCCCTCCTAGAGCTGGCGCTGTGGGTCAGTGGGCCTCCCCATGGCCAGGGTCCTTGCTGCCTTTGAGGGACCCACGGGCTGCCTCCTGCCAAGGACCCCCTCCCTGCTCACCTCCCCTGGCCTTTCTCATTCTCTCCAGCCTCACAGGCTCCTGTGGGGTCTGCAGGGAGAGAATCCTCTTGGATGGGGGAGCTGAGGCCCGGAGCGCCCAAGGGGCCGCCGTGCGCAAGGCCCGCCTCAGGAGTGTGGCTCTGCTTGGACAGAACCTTGGGGTTCCAGCCCCTCAAAGATCCCTGCACAGCCTGGGGCAGGCCAGAGCAGAGGGCCTCAGAGTGAGGGTCCTGAGGTGTGCCCCGCCAACCTGGCCCCTCTGGGTCTTACCTGGGGGTGGAAGAGCAGCGGGGACGGCCGCAGGTACTTCTCCTTCAGGACTCCCACGGGGTCTGTCACCTTCCGCTTCTCCACCCTGCTGGACAGCAACACAGAGGGTTACGTACCCCGCGGAGTGGCCCAGCGCTGGGCAGGGAGGCGCCCCACTGGTCATGAGGTGTGGGGGCCTCGCCACGGTGGCCCAGCTTCTGGGGCTCCCCAGCTACCACGTCTTACCTGACGGCCCTGGCCAGGCCCACCTGCTCACCTAGGAGAGCCTCCGAGCCCGCTGCCCACCCCCACAGTCTTGCTCTGCTTCCCTCCCACGCTCCCCAGTGCCGTGCCCACTTCTGGACCCCTTCAGGTCCCCCATGTGCCCCCAGCCACCGTGCATGTGACAAACACTTAATGCCGGAGCCCAGAATCTTCTCTGAAGGCCCTGAGCGCACCAGCCTCTGCCCACTGGCCCGTCAGCCCCCAGGGGATTACACAGTTGGGATCCCAGCTCGCCTGCAGCAGAACGCGGCACACACGGGAGGCTGTTCCTTGTCCCCCCTGCCCTTGGCCGACTGGGCTGACCAGCGAGCGTGAGTGACCAGGAGGTTTCTGTCCTGGGGAAAGAGCCAAGCAGGCGCTGCCTAACACTCGCGATGGCTGCCGAGATGACAGGTCTAGGACCTTCCCTCTGTGCTGGTGACAACTCTGTTCATCACAAAACCAGCAGAGGAGGTGGCCGGGCAGCGCCCAGAGATCCCTCCTCTCACCGTTTCCCAGCAACGCCTGCCTCAGTCTCCCCGTGGGGGGTGAGCTTTACAAAGCACGATTTGTGAGCATTTCCCGGCGTCTCAGGCGCTTTGGGGACTGCTGTGCCTCTCTGCACACAGACACAGCCCCTCTGAACCAATCCTGGCCGGATGCTCCCGTGCCCTTTGCTCTTGGGCCTTGCTGGGCACCGTGCTCCCTTCACTCAGGCCTCCAGGGGACTGGCTGGGGCAGTGACCGGAGCAGGATTGGGGATGGCTGAAGGAGGACAGCACAGCCACCCAGGGGGCCAGAGGCAGGAGCATCCCCTGCAGGGTGAGGCCACAGGTCACCCCACGGAGACCCCGAGCCTGGTCCAGGAGGGAGAAGGCGGGAGATGTGGGAGGAGCCGGGGGGGCACGTGTTGCACTTTGGGAAGATTCTCTCCCAGAGGAATAAAATAAAGGACCACACGTGTGGCCCCAGGAGGTGCGGCACCCACTGGGTGGGAAGTCGGCCGGGAGGGACCTCACTCTGCAGGCCTTCACCGAGGCCCTTTCCAAGTGCGACTGTGTCAGATTCGGCCTTTCGAGGAGACACTGCAGGTTGGTGGGGCGGGACCAAGAGAAGGGGGGCCCTTGTGGGAGGAGGAGGGCCAGGTTTGGCTCCATCTCTTCTGCCTTTTTCTGAGTCATGTGGCAGCCCCACCGGGCTGGCTCCCGAGCAACCAAGGCCAGCTGACACCAGCTGACCCCAGCGGACACGGGGTCTCCAAGTTGCCTGGCTTATGTCACCACATAAACCACATTCCCACCTCATCCCCAGCCCATCCTGCAAACGCAGCAGCCACATCGGGGGGCGGGGGCAAGAGGGCCTGGAGGGCCAGGGAGGCCGACCGGGTGGTGTGAGAGGATGGAGGGCTGTGGGTACACGCTCAGGGTCACTCACGGGGGACGGCCTGTGGGGAGCTTCACTAGAGTCACTCTCAGGACCCACGCTTGGAGAGAAGCCTTCACCCCGTGTGTTTATCTTGTGGGGTTGGGGTGGCAGGGAGACCACACAGAGCTCAGCCACACTGCAGCCTTTGCTAGTGTCTGCGTGCAAAGTCGGGGTGCAGGCAGCCCCTCCAGCAGGTGCTGGACCCTAAACTCTGAGGGTGAGAGCCCAGGACACGCCGGGTCTCACATGAGCTCTGACTGGAGAGGGCCCTGCAGCCGGTTCTCAACTTCCTGCTCCCCCAGATTCCAGGAAAAGGCCCAAGACCCTCAACCAGGCCGTGAGCAGGGAGGAGAGGGGCTGGGGGAGGGGCGCACTGAGGGTCAAGTGCAGGGGCAGACGAGGGGGGGATGAGGGCCAAGAGGAGAGTGGGGACGGGCTGGACGGGGAGCTGGCGGAGGAGGGGGCTGGAGAAGCCGGGGAGGAGCAGGAGGAGGTTAACTGAGACCCTCGCACGCCTGCTGGCTCCAACTCTGGGGGCCTGGCCGGAAGGTTCCGTCCCTCAGTCTCCAGTCACTCCCTCCCATCCTCTGCACGGGGGCAGCACGCCCCACAGGCGCCTCCTCCCTCACATCCCAGCTGTTTCCTGGCCTCGCCTGGGGTCCCGGAGATTCTTACGTTAACTGGCAAGTGTCTTCTGCGCTTTTTGATGGACGCATTTGCCCCAAAAAGTGGGAAGCCACCTTTGACAGATGAAGGCCACCCCTCTCTGCCGAGCCCCTAGCCTACCTTCTCAGACCATCTATGGATGGTGGATTTGTAAAAAATACACCCAAACGGGGCATTTTCCTTGTTTTCCGTGGTGCCGACTCAGGACTGAGCAGGAAACAGATGGGCTGCAGACTCAGGCCGGCCAGGGCCCCGGTGTCGAGCGTGGAGAGCAGGGCCCGTGTGGGCATCCTGGGCCGGCAGGCAGAGCAGGAGGCTCGCCCACCTTCCCCTCCCTGGCAGCTCGGCCTGGCTCTGACATCACTCTCTCCCATGTGGACTTTCAGCAGGTGTGACCTCCTTACCCACATGCCCACCCCAGGCCGTGGCTGGCCCTGCAGGGAACAGCAAGCACTGGAGACCTCAAGGTGGCCACGTGCTCCTGTGCTCCCCGCAAACCAGTGCCTTCACGCACACGCGAGTGCACAGGCCCTCCCTCACGTAGAGGCGTAGGCCTGTATGCGCTGCAATAGCCTGTGTTGGTTTCCTGGCACCTCCAGGCCCTCACGAGCACCCCCATGTGCACACCTCCAGGACGTGTGCTGGCAGGGTCTGACCCCTCCCGCCTAAGCAGCCTCTCTGATCTAACCCTGCCCAGACACTGGGGAGGGGGTTAGCCCACTCCTCCCCAGAAGGGCCGTCAGAGGCATGACACCAAGTGTTTGCAAACCTCCAAACCTGCCTCCTTCCTTCCTCCTCTCTGCTTCTGGGGACCAGTGGTTCCTTCTCTGATTTCCCCTGGGCCACCAGAAACCCCTAGTTGTGGCTCCAGGGAGCCGGGGCGGGGGTGTACAAGGGCAGCCATAGGGAAGCGGAGACACAGGGAGGTGGAGAGAGGCTCAGAGGAAACAGCAAGGATCTGAGATGTGTGGGAGGCAGAGTCGGTCCAGAGAAGACAGCGGGAGGCAGTGGGAGGGCCTCTGGGGTGGGTCTGAGCGCAGGCTCCAGAGGTGCTCAAGGCAGGGCATGGGGTAGCCCAGTGGATGTCAGAGAAAGGGAAGCGCGTATGTCCGGGAGGACCTACCCCAGCCTCCTAAGTGTGGCCCCCGCCTGGTGCCCACCCCAGGAATGGGCCAAGCCAGGAGTGTCTTCTGGAGCAGCAAGGACCTCCCGAGAGCTCAGGCACCCCCCTGAAGCCAGCAAAGGCAGAGGGACGAACCTTGGGGGAGCACAAGAGGGCAGCCTCTCCCACACACTGACCCTACGCAGCTCCCCAGCATGGCTGGCCCCTCTGGGAGGGCAGGTGAGGGCAGGGCATGTTAATACCTGTAGATGGGGTCCATGAAGAAGGGCGACGGCTTGGCGTAGTGCAGCGACGGCTGCTGGGGCAGCTGCGCCGGGCACACCTTGGGCAGCCCCTCACCGGCACCCAGCCTGCGCTCGCCATACACGTGGTTCTTGCGGGGCTCCCGGCCCCCTCCGTTCTGGCTGGCTCGGACGCGGCTGCCGATGCTCAGGTCCAGCGGCTGCTCCTCTCCAGATGCGGGCGCCGGGGGCACCTTGGGCACGGGCAGGATGGGCTTGGCCTCTTTTGGTTTGGTGGTGAGGTCAAAGGGGGACTCGGCACTGGGGCCGCCCACCTTGAGGGCATCCCGGGGTGACTTTGGCTCAGCCTTGACCAGCAAGTTGTGGGTGAGTGTGCGGTCCGTGAAGGGGTAGAGGGCGTGGGGGAAGTTGGGCAGGAGCTGGAAGGGGAACACGGAGTGGTAGGGCAGCGCGCCCAGCTTCTTCTCCTGCATGCCCACGAAGCCGGGCCCGAAGTACTTCTCCGCGATGGAGGCGATGGCCTTGATGGAGTCGCCCGCGGCCCCCGACGCCGTCAGCAGCTGCTCGTCGGGTGGCGGGAAGAAGGAGTGCTGGGAACAGAAGAGGGGCACCTCGCCCACGCTGTTCGGGGCCCCCGGGGGAGCTGTGCCGCCCCCACACTCGGCCTTGCCCTCGGCCGCCTTGCCCTTGGCCTTGGCCTTGTCGCGGTCGCTGTCCACGTCGCTGTCCAGGTCCGAGCCCGTCCCTGTGGTCGTGTCCAGGTCGGTCCCCGTCGTGGTGTTGACGTCCTCGAAGTCGCTGCCGTCCGACATGTCGCTGCTCCGGGTCTTGAGCTTCTCGGCGTATGAGTCCTCGAGGCGGCTCTCGAACTTCTCCTCGGGCCCCGAGGCTGCCGTGGCGCCCTGGCCGCTGTTGCCGACGGCGGAGACGAGGGGTAGGGCCGGGTTCCCCAGGGGGCTGGGGAGCTTGGCATCCTGGGTGTGGTTCAGGGGGCTCTTGAGCAGCGGCGTGGGAGGTAGCAGGGGCGGCCGGGGGTACAGGGACGGAGGGAAGATGCCCGGGAAGCCGGGGGTGAGCGCGGGGAACGCCGGGGGCGCCGCGGAGAAGGGCAGGCTCCCTGGGTGCGGCCTGGAGGGGAAGTACTCATTGAAGCCCAGGCTGGCGTGGTTGAGGTTGGGAGGGGGCTTGGCCTTGTCCATCATGGGGCTGGGGGTGAGGGGCAGGCCCGGGGCGAAGATGCCGCCTGGCGGGTAATGGTTCTTGCCCTCGCAGAAGCGCCGGTGCTTGTTGAGGGAGGAGGTAGTGCTGAACATCTGCCCACAGTCCTTGCACTTGATCTGCGTGCGGCAGTCGGCGTGCATCCGCTTGTGCCGGCACAGGTTGGAGAACTGCGTGTAGGATTTGTGGCAGACCTCACCTAAAACATCAGCAGAAAGCAAAGACGAACACGATATGAAATTAAGGGAAACTCTGTGGTTTCCGGGGAGCAGGATGAAGGGCGCTTCTGGCCTCGGTGACAGGAGCAGCCCCTGCTTGTGTGTGAGCACGTGTGTGTGTATATGAGTGTGCCTGCACATGTACATGCAAGTGTGTATGTGTTCGTGTGAGCACATGTACATGCATATGTGTATATATGTGTGCCTGTATGTGCTTGCATCTGTGTATTTGGGCACACATGCATGTGTGTCTGCAGCCACACGTCTGTATGCATGAGTGTGTGCCGTGCATGTGTGTGCATGTGCATATGTTGTATGTGTGCTGCCAGTATATATGTGCTTGTACGTGTGTATGCATGAACACATGCATGTGTGCATGTACTTGTGCCTGTACATATGTATGCTGGTGTATGCATGTGTGTGTGCATTTGCACTGTTGGTGCAAGTGTGTTGTGCACGTGTGCACAAGTGTTTATGTGTGTGTGCGCACATCTGTATCCATGTGCCTGCACGTGTGTGCACACATACACACGTGAGTGCACTCTACCCTGGCGCTGCCCTCTGATCACCAGCATGGATTGGCAAGGACCGTCTGTGCCTTCCCTGGGGTCCTTGGGCCAGCTTGGGCAGGTCTCACAGTGACTCAACCTTCTCTGTTGGAAAATGGGGTGCTGCCACTGCTGGCGCCCTCCTTCCCCAAGAGTGTCTGCAGTTTGGGGTCCAGGGTCTTCTGAAATCGCTCCCAGCGTTGGGTGACGCCATGGCATGCAGCCCCGTCTGCAGCTGCATCAGCTCGCCTGGGACTCCGGCCCTACCTGCCTGCCCACTTGGTGACACTGTCCCCGTAGGGGAGAGAGGAAAACACCAACCCCCCAGGGTATCTCCGGCTTTCTAAAGTTGAAAACGATCCCAACTCTCTCCCTCCTCTCTCTGTCCCAGGCCCTGCGACCCACACCCAGGAGACAGAGGCCTCCGGGGGACCAGCCCACTCGGGCTCTTCTCAGGGAGTGTGGGCTTTGGGAACACGCTCCTGGTGGTGCACGGTCACTGTCTGGGGGTGTCCTGAAGGTGGGGATGGGAGGGAAGCCCCAGTTGGGCTGTGCGGAGAGGCGCTGGTTCCAGGTTTGAGAAAAGTGACACCTCCCCAAATTGGGAGGCAGAGGCAGCAGGCTGCTCTGCTCCTGACAGGAGACAGCAGCGCCGGCCAGAGCCCAGCACCAGCACCCGAGGCCCAGCGGACCCCGTCTCGCCATTTTCCCAATGGCCTGTGGTGGAGTATCTGCAAATCGCCAGCTTTCTTTCTCCTCTTGTTTTTCTAACCAGAAAGTGAGGAACACACACACACATGCATGCATGCATGCACACACACCCTGCGTGTGTCTCTCTCTGCAGGACAATTTGCTTCCTAAACGCAGCCCCAGTGGAAACAATGATTTCAGCGTGGCTCTTGCTCACCACAAATCCTCAACTGCCTGATGTCACGCTATTCCAGCCAAGAGCTTTGGCCCTGAGATTATCGTGTTCTTTAATCACAACATCTATTTATATTAGCGGCTCTGCCTTCCTGGTCGTCTGGCATGGCGGGACGTTCTCAAGGCTGGGGGGAGAACGTGCTGCCTGATTTAACGGCATCTGCCCTTTCTGGGAGGTGCCAATGCAGAGGTGCTGCTCCCCGGGGATGGTCTATAAATACCCCCGTGGCTCTGCTAGCCTCCAGAGGGCTCTGTGACATACCCCCGGCCCCAGCAGGGCTCTGTCAGTGCCTTGTTGGTGGCCGCTGCCCTCCTGAGCTTGGAAACTGGCCGTGAGCAGGTCTCCTACCCCAGGAAGCTCCCAGGAGGGGCCTCCCAGGCCAGCAGCCAAGCCTGGGCACAGGGAACCTGGGAACCCTCCGTTCCCATCCACCTGCTCACATGATGGGTGGGGGGTTCCTGCAGAAACGCTGGGGCTACAGAGAGGCCTCTGGGAGACTGAGGTCCCGGGAGAGGCAAGTCCCAGACCTAGGATGGCTGACAGCTGGCTCAGAGCTGGCAAAGTGAGGTGGCTGCCTGCAGGGGCTGGGATAGGCCTGGGCAGCCCACAGCAAGCTGGACGTGGGGACCAGTGCCTGATGGAGGGTGCCGCCCAGGCCCTGCCAGGACCCACAGGGGCCCTGGCCAGTACTTGTCCCGGTCAGCAGTTTCTTTTCCTTGTAGGTTGTGTGTGGATGCACATTCCCCCACCACACACACACACACACACACACATTCCAAAATTTCTGGAAAGTGCCCACAGGAGACTGCCTGCCTGTGCGCCCAGATACCCCACCCCCTCTCTCACATGCACACACTTGACCACCCTGGTCATCGAGGAGGGGGCTCGGGAGCTTCTAGCCAGGTTTTGGTGCTGATCCACAGGTGCCGTGGGTGTGCACCCACATGCCGCCCAGGGGTGGATGCAGAGTCTGTGCACACTAGCGACTATCCGGCTTCAACTAGTTGGTGGCAACTGTGTGCCTCCAAGCGACTGCTCTCCTCTTAGAAGTGCCATGTGGGTACCCCCCCGCCCCGTGCGCAGCGCTCTCTCTCCAGGCCTCACCACAGCCCCCTCCCGTGGGCCACAGGATGCGCAAGATCGTGCTTCACGTCTGACTTCTAGAATTTGTGCCACCCTCTCTGAACGAAATGTTCACACACGCAACCTGGCAAGCGCAGGTTTCTCTTTGGCTTTGCCCCTTAGCCAAAAGCCAAGGCCCCAAGGCGAGTGTGGAGCCCGGCAGCAGGCGGAGAGCGCTGGCCCCTGGCAAGGACCCGACCAGCTTGCCCCAAGCTCTCCACCTCCACAAGGGGAGGCTGTGCTGGCTGCGGGAACAGCGGGCTCAGATCCTTCCAGAGAACGGCAGCTCCTGGAACTCATGTGATCCACGCGATTCAGTGAGACTTCACACAGCTCGTGTGCATGCCCACAAGGCAAGAGCTCTTAAGCCTGCATGCAATTTTCCTGAGTCTCAGCTTAAAAACTCTGAGCTACTATCTGGTGCACACATACGCACCCCCTCCCATAGGGGGACTCGCTGGGATGCTCATCCCCGGAAAGTAGGACACCATGCACCTCCAGTGGCAAAGTCATGACCCCCAGCCCCACCGCCACCCAGCTTGCCTCCTCCCAGCTCCCCTCAGAGGGAGTGGGCCTTGCCCCTGGAGCCAGGCGGTGGGGCTGCCCACACCACTGCTTAGATGCTCTCTTTCCAGGGCCTGCAGGTGAAGGAGGTGGTGGGTGAGCAGAAAGACTGCCCTAGAGGAGGGGCCGACAGGCAGGGCTTTGCTTCCTCGCCTGGGGGAGCCAGTGACCCAGGTGGATTATGGTCTGAGTCACTTCTAGGAGGACAGTTGGAACATTGGGCTGGGGGCAGTGGGCAGGAGGGGGGCACAGTCCCAGCTACCCAACAAAGACTTGACTGGCCAGTTGGCATGGCCTCTTTGGGGCAGGTGTCTGGCACCTGAACAGCCCCCGCATTGGTGAAGACACCCTGACCCAGTCCCCAGGCTCGCAGAGTCACCTGCTCTCGCACTGATGTGCTGGAGCCCAAGAGGCCCTGGTCCACGACCTGGGGTCAGGAGCCAGGCCCCTTGAGCTAGAACTCAGGCTCCGCAGCATGGCCTCCAGCGCCTGGTCACTTGTCTCTAAGCCTCAGTTTCCCTCTCTGTCAGCTGGAGATGGTGCAGCCCTGCTCTGTACGGTTCTGTAAGGATGCCGTGAGATAATGTGCGTGAAACGATGACTCAGCGCAACGCTGGTGTGAATGGCTTAGTGACAACGTTGGTGTGAAATGACTCAACACAACTTGTGTGACATGAGTTAGCACAATCTCGTGTGAATGATGACTCAGCGCAATGCTGGAGTGGAATGGTGACTCAGCACAATGCTAGGCAGAGAGGAACCTTCAGTGGCTTCCAAACCCACTGAAAATTGGGGTCGTGACCTTGCACTGGCCCACAAGGTGCCCGGGACCTGGCCTTGTGATGTCTGACCCCTCTCCTCTTCCTTCTCCTCACTCAAGCCCTAAACCGATCCCGGCCTCAAGGCCTCTGTGCTGGAAGTCCCTTGTCTGGCGCCTCCTCTGCAGGCGCCCCCTCGGATCACTCCTGCTTGTCTTCAGAGGCTGGGCCATCCTGGCCTCCCATTGTATTCACAGGGGCAGCGGCCCCCCACCCCACCCTGGGCCGCCCCCTGGCACCTAGAGAGCCTCCTGCCCCCCAGGCTGAGGCCTGTCACATGTGCTGTTATCATTTATATGGCTTAGCCTATCTCCTCCACTGGGGGGTAAGCTCCATGGGGACAGGGGCCCAGCAGCTTATGGCCAACCCCTGCCCCTGGACAGCGGTGAACACGCAGCCCCAGGTTCCCCAAAGGCTGCGAGGGTGAGCAGCGCTGGATGAACATGTGGCGGGGCGGGAATGGGACGGCGGGCCACTGGCTCCTGCAGGTCCTTCCCCACCACCCACTGCCACCTCTGGCCACTGGAGGGATAAGCGTGGGGACCAAGGCGGGTTGTAGGGGAAAGGGAGGCCAGACCAAGAGAGCCGAATCACAAAAGGAGAGGGTACAAGGAAGAGAAGGTGGCACCAGAGAGCAATGGGGCCGGGGCTTCACATGGCAGCAGGAGTGTTGGAACAAACAGGAGTCCTAGGGGCGGGCAAGAGGCTGAGGAGTCCGTCCTGGGCCTGCCTCCAAGAGCGCCTGCCCCAGATGAGCGGCCCGGCTGGGGACGACTTACATATGAAAGGCTTGACGGTGCTGTGGATATGCTTGTGCTGCTTGAGGCCCGAGGATGTGGCGAAGGTCTTCCCGCAGTCGGGGCAGGCGTGCGCCCGCGCGCCCACGTGCTGGGAGCGGATGTGCCGCTGCAGGTTGCTGGGGTCCGTGAACACCTGGGGAGACGGACACTGTGGGCTCCCGTCGCCTCTGGCTGCCCTAACCAGGCAGTTCTGGTCGAGGGATGGGGCTCTCACTCGCCGTTCTGACCCCTACGCTGAGCCTGGCCAACCAGCTCTCTGCTGGAGCCGTGACCCACCCGACAGCACTAGGGGAGCCGCCCAGCCTCCCCTAGACTCTGATTCCTCAATAACAGTTCCCAGGAGAACTGTGGCTGCGAGGATGCTCAAGGCAGGAACACAGAAAGCGTTTTTAAGCTGAAGTGCCATGATATGGGATGGCTTGTGGGTGGGGAGGCTGACCCCTGCCAGCCTCACCTTCCACATCGGGGGGGTGGGGCCGGGGGCAGGAGCCCTCCCTGGAGGGGAGTCAGGTCTGGTGCCGCTCAGGCCTCGTTCCTGCTGCGTGGCCCAGCACACTTCCTCTCTTCCCGGGAAACAGAAGGAGCCGGATGACTCCCGGGCATCTCACTCGCTCTCCACCCTTCATCTGGATTTTTACAGCAGGGGCGAGGCAGGCGCAGGCGGGCCGGTGAGCACGCGGAGCGGGGCTCACATACGTTAGTTACCTTCACGCAGTTTTCACATTCGAAGCGCTTGCCGCTGTCGTGGGACATCTGGTGGCGGATGAGGTTGGACTTCCAGTTGAAGGCCTTGGGACACTGGTCACACTTGTACTCTCGCTCCTCTGTGTGCACGATCATGTGCTGCTCCAAGCTGTGCACAGAGGACGGGGGTCACCGTGGGGCCCACCACCCGGGAAGAGGGGCCCTGAACCCAGCACGGCCTGTTCTCAGCAGCCCCTCGGAACCCCCACCAGGTCCTGCTGGGGGATCAGAGCGAGTCCTCGCAGCGTGTCTGCCCACCTCCTCTCTGGACGGGGCAAGGAGATGGAGGGGCAGAAACGGTCTTCCCACATCAGATGGGGAGGCAGCCGGTACCTGGACAGAAGCCGATGCCCAGAGAGGGCTCAGGCCCTTGTCCAAGACCACCCTGCAGGCAGCCAGAGGCAGGGCGGGACCACAACTCACTTCCCAGCGGCTCTTCAAGACAATGTGAACAGTGAAGCTAACCTTGGGCCTAAGAAAAAAGGAGTCTGGAAGCTTTTGACACTGCCATGAGCCCCAGGGTTGGGTGAGGCCTGGGAAACCCAAGGACACCGCCTGGCCAGGCCGAGAGCCCGCCACGCACACATGAAGGAGGCAGGCCGGGGTGGATGAGCCGGTCTCCAAATGAGATGTGATGGGGTGGGGAGGGCACAGCTGCCCGGGAGAGGCCGCGGCACTTGGACGAACGAGCAGCTCCCAATCCCCTCCTCTCGGGGGACAGCCCGCTTCTCCTCCTGTCCCAGGTATGACCGTTAATCTTCATGAAGAGAGCAGCAATACATCACGGCCCGTTAATTAGGGGCCCAGCCATCCATTAGATCAGAAACGCTTGGTTCCTGCGCAGCACAGATTGTATCTTTTTCCCTGTTGTTAATTGTGATTTATGTGTTTATGTAAAGAAAACACGGACCCTCTTGAGCAGCGCTTACCGCCAAGGGCCTCAGTCGGGATTTGCCCAAACGCTTATTTTCTCCGTCATCTGTTCAGGGTGGAGGGTTTCCCGTCCCCAGGGAAGCCGTGGGGGGATTGGCATCAGTTCCCCCAGTCCCACAGCCAGTTAGTGACCTGACAGGGTTTCACTCTGACTTTGTCAGGCTGTCCTGGAGGACGTTCTCGAAGGCAGGAGGAGGGACCCACACTGGAAAAGTGGCCACGGGTCCCTAGAGGACTGGGACCATGTGTCCTGGCTGCTCCCCACGAAGCCCAGGGGTTCTCACCAGTCCCCAGGGCCCCAGATCCCAGGTCCTGAATCCTGCCGGGCCCTGGAATCCTGCCTGGCAGCTTGGGCCTGCTCTAGGCTGACCATGTCCAGTTGTCACACAGCTGGCCTGGCACTCTGTGTCCATGTCTGTGAAGTCTCCCTGGACAGACAGGTGCTGCCCATGGGGAGCAGAGGCTGGTGCCTGGGGTGGAGGGATAAGGGGACTCCTGGGTACCCCCTCCTGCTCCTGACCACTGTCTGAGAAGGAGTCACTCACGTGTCTGGAGGGCCAGGCCACTCCACGAACCCCCGGGCAGCAGGGTGTTGCCGTCCCCCGTCCTTGTCTCGGACTTTACTGCAGAAGTAGCGCTGGGGCTCGACCCCTGCACGTCTCGGGGTCTGGCCCTCATTTCTTGACTTCCCTCTAGTCTGTCTCCACAGCTCAGCCCTCACTGTGCAGAATGGCCAGGCCAGCGGTGTCTCAACAGGGCAACTTGTGGATCCTCCCGGGGTGGGAGGGCTCTGACCGGAGGCCTGGCCTTCACGGTCAGAGCTGGGAGCACTGTGGCCTCCAGCCGCCAGCTCATGGGCCTGCTCTGTCCCCAGCGCCAGATGAATGGGCCGGGGTACCTGCCCCTGAGGTGTGCCGCGCTCGAGGGGACCCTTGTCTCCAGCTGGCCCTGGAGTCCTCTGCGTCCAGCATGGACAGGGCTGAGGGATGAGGGCTGACCTCTGCCCTTCTCAGGCTCCCTCTGTGCTCCCAGGGCCGCTGACCCTGCTGTCCCAGACTGGCTCCTGGGGAGGGAGGAGGGAAGAGGAGCAGGCGGAGGGGAGGGGCAGCACCTGTACTTGTTCGGGAACATCCGCTCGCAGTCCTTGCACTCGTGGGCCTGCCCGTCGCTGCCCGTGCCACCCACGCCCTCCGGCTTGAGCTCCTCGCCCAGGCCCTGGTAGAGCGCGGCCCCCACCGAGCTGCATGCGTACTTCTTGTGACGCCGCAGGTCCAGCTTGGACTGGAAGAGCTCATCACACATGTCACAGCGGAACGTGGGCTCCTCTGCAAGAAAGAGGACAGGAGGCGGGTGGGCGAGCCTGAGACCTGCCCCAGGGCCCAGGGCCGCGAGGGGGTGCGGGACACCGTGGGGCCTGCCTCCCCCACTGGCTGTTCCCCCTCCTGCTTCCTTCCTGCCCTCATCCCCGACCTAGGAGTGGCTGCCCAGAGGGTGTGGAGACCACAGGGACCCAGGTCTGCATCAAAAGAAACACTGAGAAACGCTGGGCCCCTCCCTGCGTCGAGGTCGTTGTGGGCTTGAGAAGGCCCCCGCTCGGGAGCGGAGAAGGAAGCCAGGCCAAGTGCTTTGTTTATGAATTAGGAGAAAAAAGACGACAGAGCTCTAATGCATATCATAAATTATTGTCGTCAAGGTCAAACAAATTAAAAGAGGGGCAGCTATTACTAAGTTTACGAGGCGGCATCCTGACCACTGTGCCAAGCCAAACAATCAGCCCAGAGCTGTAAATTTCCTCGGGGGACGACCTCCGGGCCCCTCCCCGGCACCCCCGCTGGCGGCCGCCTGACAGCAGCTCTTCCCCAGAGCGGGTCCCATCCCCGCCCGGGGTGGACCCCGGGTCCCTCTCAGGTCTGGAGAACACGTGCACTAAAGCTCTTGCGCAAAGGAACTGAAAGGTGTGCATGTGTGTGCTTGTCAGCGAATGTGTGAATGCACGTGTGCTTCTTGTGCATGGGTGTGCAACTGTGTGCGCATGGGTGTGAAGATCTGAGCCTACCTGCACCTGTGTCTATGTATCCTTGTGTGAATTTGTAGGCATTTTTGTGCCTCTACCCTCATGTTTGTGTTGGTGCGTTTATGTATTCACGTGTATGTGTGCACATGTGTGAATGTGCAAGTGTGTTTCTGTATGTGGCTACAAGTGTGGAAAATTTGTGTTTGCATATCTTCACACTAGCACACATCTGTGGGCAAGTGTGCCTGAGTGTTTGGGCATGTGTACATTTGCGCATTTTTGTGTGTTCATGTGTGTGCTTACTTTGCACATGTGAATGTTTCTGTGCACATGTGTGTGCACATTTGTGTGCTAGGTGAGCAATGCACAGAAATGTTAAGTATACATGTTCGTGTGCATGGTTGACTATGTGTTAGGTGTTGAGTGTGCATGTGTTGGTGTGTGTATATGTATATGAGTGAATGCATGCACATCTGTGTGCAAATATGCACTTGTGTGCATTGGTGTGTCTGTGTAAATGTGTATGCAGTTGTGCATGCGTGAATATGTGTGTGTGTATTTGTGTGTGAATGTGCAGGTGTTATGTGATTGTACTTGTGTGCGTGTGTTAGTGTGTGCTTGTGTGAATGTGTGTGGGATGGTATGCACACATTTGTGTGCAAGAGTGAAGGTTTGTGAGTGTGGATGAGTGTCTGTGTACACCTGTGACTGTGCGTTTGAGTGTGAGTATGTGTCTTTGTGTGCATGTGTTTCAGCATGTGTGTGTGTGTGTGTGTGTGTGCACATGCACGAGGACCCCGCCCAGCACTGAGCACAGCCTTAATAACTTTGGATTGAATGCTGACCAACAGGACCTGACCTAAGGGGTGGAGGAGCCAAGGAGGTGGGGCGGTGGGGGGAAGGGGGACCGGGGCTGCCCCGGCCCCTCCTTGTGCCATAGAGACCACGGTAACTGTTTCCCAGTGCTAAGCAGAGGGTGGGCAGCTCTGCAGCCTGGGCACTGCGGGCTGGGGAGAGGGAGGGCCACCTCCCCAGGACCGGAAGCTTCCCCGAGCCTAAGGGCGGAGGCACTGCTCCGGGTGTCTGGCCACACCCAGCATCCCCACTGGTGGGCACCCAGCACCCTCTGACGCCCAAGGGGACCTTTCTGCAGGAGCTGCTCTAGGTGCCCTTGGCCAAGCCCCCTGGGCACTGGCCGACACCCTCGGATTCACAAGCACCGAATCACCAAATGTGACTTTTGTTCATGTCTTTGCCTGGGGAAGTGTGCGGATGGGGCAGGCCCGGCAGGCTCCTGCGCTGGGCAGACGCAGCCTGAGGCTGGGCGTCCCCGCCAGCTCTCTGATGGGAGTCTGCTGTCAAGAAAGTGCTTGTTTGGAGAAAAACAAGAAGAGGAAGGGAAAAAACAGCTCGCACTCAGCGTCTGGGGAGTCAGGTTACAACACCCAGCCCTGCTCTGGGGCCGTGAGTGGGTGCAGGGGCCTGAGCTTGGGCCTCTGGGACTTGGAAGGCTCCCTCCCGAACGTCTCCCCAGACGCTGGCCTTCTCGCCTCCTTCCAGTCCATTGTGCAGCCGGCCCACACAAACCACAGGACTCGGGGATGGAGGAGACAGAGAGGGCGCCACACCAGGGACCCTTAAGCGAGCATTTGCAAACACAGTGGCCAGCAGGACCCTGGCATTCCCACCAACGGACAGAGTGGCTGGGCAGAAGGAACAGGGGCGAGGGGCCCCAAGGCCGACGGGAGAGCAAAGTCAGAGAAGATTCGAAAACAAAACCCATCAAGGCACAGGGCCGGCGCTCAGGTGCCAGGGTGGAGCCCCAAATATGATCCACGGGATGGGGGAGGTGGGCAGCGATGATGCACTTTACAGAATAACCAGCCGGCAAGTCCACGAAGCCTGCCTTTACAATAGAAACCGAGAACGCAGACCCTTTTCAGGAAAATGTCTACTGTGAAATAGTGTGACTAATAACGTGAATGCCCGAGGTCTGAGGAGCCTCCACATGGCTGGCACTGTCCTGAGAACTTTACGGTATTCTCGCATCTAAGCCTCTCGACAATGCATGCACACGCAGGGGGACTATTTTTACGTCCTCTTCATAATTGGTAAACTGAGGCTGGAAGACACTGAGTCACCTGCCTGGAGCACTGAGCGGAAGTGGCAGAGCCGTGGAACTGGAGCCTTTGTACTGTGGGGTCCCCAGGAAACGGGCAGTGGAGCCCCGACTTCCCACTGCGGGTGTGAGAAATGCACCATGCGTGGTGTGGATTTCCTTTCTAGCTGAGGGCTGAGAGTCCCATTTCAAAGCAGAGCTGGATGCACAGACCCCACAAAACTGCTCTTGCGGGTTTATTCTGACGTCCTGGGCTGGAATGAGGCTGAGGTGGAGCCCTCCCACGGCATCATGATTAAGTTAGAAATGCAATTTGTATTTTAGTCTTTCTGGACCAAACTAAGAACAACCACAGAAGTCGAAATTTGAAAACAAAGACAAGAAAAAATGCCAACCCCACCCATCCAATAACACTGACCAACTTATTTTTCCAGTTTTGATGTGAAATTTGGATTTGGAATGAAAATTCAGCCTGATTTTTCACTCTGACGGCATTCGAGGGTGCCTTGGAGGAGATGGAACCAACCGTGGAGATAAATGTCACCCTCTTCCTCCGTTCCCCGTCCCACCATGGACCTGGGTTTGCCCTGATCGGAGGACAGAGCTGGGGACAGGACGAATCTAAGCCTTGCCCACTCCTGCTGGGGTGTGGACAGGTGTTCCTGCGGACTTCCAGGCAGGTAAGGCTGGCACTGAACACACACCTGGGGCACGCTGGATGCGGGCAGCAAGGACACGCACAGCCCACGTGGTTTTCATTTTCCCAGCACAAGCCATTCCATTTTAAAGAAATACTAAAAGAGTATGTTACATCCTGGTTATATTCTGTTACATTATATTATATTGTGTTATATCATATTATATTATATTATCTGTCTGTCTCACGTGCTTTATACACAATACACTACATCCTCTTGACCTTTTTTGGAGAGGGGAAAAGTTAATCATTTTGAGCCTTTCTCAAAAGAAAAGCATATTTGAATGGAAATGATTTTCTTTATTTTCTTCGAAGAGCAAGAAGTTCTCCTGAAAGAGAAATCTTTCCCCTCTCCATTGAAAGAGTAAAAACAAAATAAAAAGTCGCTGGAACTAATGAGTCTGAAAGTGGCTTCCCCTGGTCTGAACCACTTGTTGGAACACTGGACCTGCATTTCTTTACGAAGCTGCAGCCTGGAAAGAGCGTTTGCAGCCCCAGAGGGGCAGGACCCGGGCTCTCTCTCCCCAGCGAGCTGGCAAACCAGGGCCTCGTTTCTTCCACGACACCTGAACACTGTCCCCGGCAAAGCCCCCTGCCCCCAACAAGGGCACGAAAAATTGTGAATCAAGCTGAATCTTCTCCACGGGAATCCGGTGGGGGCACGCAGGGGGCCAGGGGTGGGGCAGAGCCCTCTCTTCTACCCAAACCAAACTAGACCAACGCGTGGCAGTCCACGTCTCGTTTGTCAAATCTGCACACCTCGCTCGTCCGTCTGAAGTTCCATCAGCAACTTTTCACGGCAGAGCAGGGATGTAAGAGGAAAATAAATCAGTGCCTAATGGCTTCCGAGAGCTGAGGGGGACACAATTATGTGGCATCTACATGCTAATCTACCAGACTGGAGGCTCAGGAGCGCTCAAGAGCCACTCCAAATTCCTGCCGTGATAAGGGGCCGACGCATTCAGCCGGGGCCGGGATAAAAGATTTTTTATGATAATTATCTTAGTGAGGAACATTTTTGCATTTTCTTTCTGTGTGAGTCAGAGTTTAACTGGGGCGGGGGGTGGCTGTCGGGGGGCAGAAGAACGATCTTGACAGCAAAGTGCGTGGAAGTCAAACATTTGCTCTTGGACTATTGTGTGTGGAAGGCAATTAGCCCACAAACGTTGGCTACGTTATTAGGAAAACGCAGACCCAGGTTACTTAGGATCCGGGGTCGGAGGGGAAATTGGAACCAAGGTTTTTAAAACCTTTTGGAAGAAAGAAATTTCGTTACAGAAATGAAACAGCCTTGCTGAGCTCTCTCCTTGAGTTGAGTGGGTTTATGTTTCCGAGTTCTCGTGTGTTATCTAAGATTCATAGGTCTTTTCAACAATTATTTTAAGGAAAATGAGACCATCCCCTGTTACCCAGACTCAGCCATTTATTTTTCTTTTCTTGACGGTCTAATTAAAACCAAACTTTAGACAAGAGCACGGATGGGACCCAGCTCATAAAATCGTGCTTCTGTGGTGAATGCCTTTGGAACATGAACTATGGCTGCATCAGAGAGGACCCTCAATGCTAGGCCACGCCCGGGGACCAAAAGGGTCAATTAAGGCAGAAATCTCTGTGTTGACTCTCGGAGGCTTCCTGCTAACTCCGATGCCCAGCTCCCTGGCCCAGCCAAGGCCACTCCACGCCATGACATTAGAGTGGCTCCTTAGAGAAACTTGCTGTTAGTGGCATTAAGCATTCATCCTTGGCACGTTGGAGGGGAGGGAAAGCAAGACAGGAAGGGAAAAATCAGCCACCCCCCTTCCTCCAGCGTGAGCAGAATTGTTAGCTCTGGACACAGCTAGAAGGGGAGACTGCTTTGCTGTCCACTTGTGGGTCTCGTTCAAAGACGCCATCTGCTCAGCAGCGGCACCCAGGTGGTTAAAGGGCCAACCCTCTGTTGCCAATGCAGCGTGCCTCGAACCAACTTTCCTCTGCCACTCACAACTGTTCCAGAATCCCCAAGCGAATGGGCGCATTGCTTCACAATGTGGATGAAGGAAAAGAAATGTGTATTTCAGAAATCCGAGCCTATTTGAGACTGGAGTGTTCTCAAGACCCTTTGAGAAGGATGTGGGTGTGGACGCACAAGGAAGAGAAGCACGTCTACTGGACAAAGACCAGGGATGAATCCAGAGGAAAGGGCATTCAGAGCGCTTCCCACAGTCCTGGTGGAAGAGCTCCGATGCACCATACCACTATGAGACCCACCCGCAGCCTTACATTTTCCCTCTCACCAAGTAAATTTTCCCTCTCACCAAGTAAATTTTCCCTCTCACTAAGTAAATTTTCCCTTAACATTCCTCTTGGGCTTTTGGCTGCTAACTACAGATGGGTATTACCTTCCAGGACGTGTATGCCGTCTTGGCCCTCTAGTAAACGAGAGGGAAACTTCTCCCGTGGCACAGAGCTCTAGGGCGCCAATGTCTTGAACCCACAAAACTGTTTTTTTTTTTTTTAACTAGTGGGAAGAGCAAAAGATGCTGCTGCTACTGATAATAAGACAGTTTTTAAGAATCCCCCAGGACTCGACCGCTACAAAGATATAAGGCAGCACGACATCCATTCACCCATGTGGTCTGAGGGTCTATCTTGAATTCAGGGGGCAGCTCATGGAACCCAAGGAACGGGAAAGAGAAGTGTTTCAGTTGAGAGGGGACGCTGGTTCTACCCGCAGGGGGTCTGAGCAGGGCCATGGGCAGTAGCTCAGGGATGTGGCATGAAGGGATGGGAGGCCTTGGGAGCTCCTGGGCCTCTGCTCCTGAGGGTGGGGGCTTACCATCCAGATTGGGGGGCACCGTCCCCAGCGAGTAGGCACCTTCCTTCACATGCACCAGCAGCTCTTCTCCTGGCTCAATGTCCTTAATGACTTTATAATAAATCTAGGATGGAGAAACCAGAGAGAAAGGGTGAGCGCAGCCGTCCTTGTTGCTCTGAAAGCCGCGTTGTGCACGCCCAGCCCACAGGCCGCTTGACCTGCCTTGTGATTGCTGCTAAGGGGCTCCCCTCGGAAGTTTGCAGAATATGCTCAAAATGACTACAGGCCCTTTTAAATTGGTGTTATCCAGTTTTTAGATACTGGTACAGGGGATGCAAAATTAAATCGGCAAGGATTAGCCCAAAGTCCCCAAGCAGGGTGCGTCCCAGAGGGATGGACTGGGGACAGCGGCTCTCTCCAAGAGCCCGGCCTGGGTTGGTTCTCAGGTTCCTTTTGTCGATGTGTATGTGAGACACCCCTTGCCATTCTGGGTGGGGGGCTTGGGGTCTAGAGGGTGAATCTGAATGTTTATGAAAGAGGCCATGAACTCAGAGAGAGGTCCCCGGGGCCAGGACACCAGGCTGTGAGTCTCACATGAGCGTGGGTGCCATCCTCAGGGGGAGGCAGAGGGGACTGTGTGCCTGCAGCAGGCTTGGTGCCAGCGGCAGTTGGGGGCCTGCGATGGGGACACCCCTGAAAGCAGGGAGGAGCGGGGAGGGGCTGAGGGTGGGTTCTGCAGCGTGGAACAGGCTCTGAGGTCTAGGGAGTTAAATTTGGAAGAGCCGGCCTCAATACTCTGAGCGGCACCATAGCTTGCCCACGTGTCTCCTGAAAAAGAAGCGTCTGCATTGGGGGTGGTGGCCAAGATCTAGAAAACTCCAGCAACTCAGAGGGTCAGCGGGGCAGGGGCCATCTGGGATGGAGCCCAGGGAACAGGCTGCAAAGTTCTGGGAGACTTTGGGACAGAACTGGGGCCTTCCTTGCTTTTGCCACATCTTGCCTAGGACCCCCCCCTGCACTCTCTGGAGACCAGAGACACAGATCCTCCAGGTGGGGGGGGGGGACACCCACTCCACACGTGAGCAGGGCTGACACCAGGGAATCCTGCATCTTAAACCTGGAAAGGTCAGACTGTGGGGTGCCTCTCTCTCAGGCCAGTCCACTGCCAACCACTCCGGCACATGGGTGTTTGGGTCTCTGTTGGGTTAACAAAAACCAAGGAGCTTCCAGGAGCCTGAAGCTCCGGCCACAGGACTGGCTGGGAGGCCAGAGAAAGACCCAAGACAAATTCATCTACCCTGGGAGACCCCGGGGGGCTGAGGCTTCTCCAGGCCGTGCCCCCTCCTCACTCCTCCAGAGTCATCCTCCTCACGGAAGGCCTGGTCAAGGGTCAGGCCAGGCTTCCCAGCAGCAGCTGGACATGCTCCCGACTGAGCTGGGCACGCAGCTTGCCCACCTCCCGTGCCCCTCCAAACATCTGGAAGACTGAGCTCTCCTCCTCTCCCCAGGCCCGGTCCAGTTGTGGACTCCCTCACATACCACCAGTCCCTACTAACTCCGAACGATACCAACGAACTCTCAAAAGACACAGAAAGCCACAGCGTCTCCAATGCCCACTTGGATGTTATTCCCAGGACTCCAGGACAGCAGAAAAATGCGCGCATGCACATAGACCCTAGTAATGTGCAAAGTTTCTTTTCCCTGTACTCGTTTGCAATTTTACTTGGCAATTATTCTCAGGTATGTCGCTAAAATAATGAAAGATTTTAAAACGGGGAATAGAAACTGGACCATATTAACTTCTGTAATCAAGCCAATTGTTATTAAGATCTCAGTTTTGTATCATTTTACCTAAAAACTCACACAGTGGCTGAATAATTGTTTTTAAAAAAATCAGATGAGCCACTGTATTGCAAAATCGGACCCAAAGTGCATCTGACGCTCTGACAAAGCCCGGATGACCGCGGAGCCGTCCGGGGACGGTGAGTCATGGGTTATTAATACGCGAGGACAACCGCACTTCATTTGGCAGCGGGCGACCGCATCCAGCAAGCGCATGCTTAGTGCCCGCCCGCGCCACCAGCGCCCGCGGGCCGCCGCTCCATGTGCGCAGGCTGGGGAAAGAAGGGTCCGACTGCGGCCGGAGTGGCGGTGGCTTCTGCTGGTCCCCGTTAGAGGGCAATGTGGACCCGCCCGCAGCGTCCCTCCCGGGCTGCGCCCCGCGCCCCCGCCCCGCGAGGCCGGCGGCGCGCTCTGACCTGGCGTCCCCGGCTCCGCGCACGGCTCCGAGGCGGCCGCGTCCTCCCGCGGGCCGGGCTGCTGGGCTCCCGCCTCGGCCTCCCCGTCCTCTGCGCCCCTCAAGGCCGCTGGCCTTCCTTCTCCGACCCCCTCCAAGGTCCACACGGCCTCCCAGGACCCCCACCCCCCGGAGTGCCACCGGCTCTTCCGAGACACCCCACCTCGGCTCCTAGGGCTGCCGGACGCTCTCCTTCAAGCCCCTCCAAGGGCCGCCAGACCTCCTGGAACCCGCACTCCGAGGCTGCCCGGGTCCCCGCCCCTCCCCCCACGCCCCCCCAGCTCCGACGGCTCCCCGACCTCCTGGGACCTCTCCACACTCCACCTCGCTGCAAGGGCTGCCGGACTCCTCCTCCTACGCCCTTTGAGAACTCCTGGCCTCTCGGGGGACCCTCCCCGCGGCCGCGGACGCAGACGCAGCCCCCGGAGCTGCCGTGGGAGGGTCTAGCACGCTGGGCCGAGGGGAGTAGATTTGTGCGCCCCGGGCGCCCCCTCCCCTGCCCGGGACCCACAGGACGGCCGCCCCCTCCCAGGCCCGGGACCCACAGGACGGCCGCCCCGGGCGCCCCCTCCCCGGCCCGGGACCCACAGGACGGCCGCCCCCTCCCCGGCCTGGGACCCACAGGACGGCCGCCCCCTCCCCGGCCTGGGACCCACAGGACGGCCGCCCCCGGGCGCCTGTCGGAGGCGCGAGCGCAGGACAGGAGGGCGGCGGGCCGGCAGCGGTGGCCCCCTGGACTTTGAGCCGTAGACGGTATTAATCGCTATTAGTGCTAATCGCAAGGCCCCGGGGCGGGGCCGGGGGGTGTGCCCGACCTGCCTCCACCTGGAGGAGGGGGCGAGGCGTGCGGTGGAATCGCCGCAAACGTTCGCAAACTCGGCTGGCCCCGCGTTCGCCAGGGCGCGGAGGTCCTCCAGGCCGGCCGTGGTCCACACGACAGCGGCCGCGTTTTCAGGCCCGTTTCCAACGGCACAAAGGCCTTATCAGCGGCCGCGCATTGAGAAAGCCGCCGTTCCTGGTCCGCGGGGTCGGGCGACTTCCCGGGACAAAGGGCGTGCTTCGGTGGGAGCTGCTGAGGCCTGAGGCGGTACAAACCGTGCATTTACTGTCCCCAGCCGGGCCCCTTCCGTTCAAGCCTGTAATAAATTATTATTGCAGCCCCTTACACATTCCTGAAGTCGGTTTATAACCTTCCTTTCATTGTGTGCCCCTGTTCGAACACATTCAGACCCGAAGGCCAAGTTGGCATCGTGGATACGTGGATACGCTGAGCCTTGAGTTTTGAGGAGAGGGGAGAGACAAGTCCGTTCCTCAAGGAAAAAGAGAGCTCGTCTCTGATGCCCTTGCGTCCCCAGGCTCAGCTGCAGGAAAGGAGCCCAGAACAGGCATTTACTTAAGTGACAGCATGGAAGTCCTTGCACCCTTTCTGAACAGCTGCATCCCCTGCACTACTCAAACTGTCCCAGGCCGTGGGTGTTGTGCCGGCAAGGCTGAGCTGGAATTTTCCCTCTGGTTTTGGGATCTGAGGGTGAGGAAATGCCACAACAGCTGAGTTTACTAGCCTCATAAATGTCTGCTCCGCACAGCTTTAAAAATAAGGCTGCCAAACAGACGGGTCTGAAGTTAAACCCTCGTTTCAACATCTCAGGTTCTCTTTGTAGTGACCATGACTTCAGTGGACATGGGTGAACAGCCCCCAAAACAGCTCCTCAGAGTTACAACTGCATTTGCCGTTTTCTTGCCCTTTTACGGCTCTCCAGACACACAGAGGTGCTCCATCCATGTAGATGAAGGAGCCCTGGGACAAATCAATGACAAACGTTCTCAACAAAAGGAAGAGAAAGTGCCTGAGAAAAGCTGGATTTAGCACAGGCCATGTTCGTTTAGACGGAGACTTTTATAAAAATGAACATTCCCCCCCCCACAATATTCTTAAAGATAGAAATATTTAAAAATTATAACGGCTGCCAGTTTCGGATTTTTCTTCTTAGGGTTCTTTATGTTTGTTGATTTTGTTTTTTAATATCAAATCAATTCACAAGGAAAGATGCTATTTTGGAAAACGAAGGTTTAAGTTTCACAATTTGCATTCCTACTTACTCTTAGAAATTTAAGATTTAAATAGATGAAAAACTCCATCCCCGTGACACTGCATAGAAGCGACCGGATTGCAGACTAAATGCCGTGGGTAGAGCACTGGCTGCAGCCCTTGCCCCGCTCCCTGGAACAAACGGTTTTCTCAAAAACACGAAAGTGATCGAGTGAACCGGACTGCTTCTTTTCCCCGTTTTACTGGTTTGAGAAACTTTAAAGGAGTGTTTGAGTAAAATATGTGAAATATCTTTCCGGGTGCTGATCTTTAAAAACATCGCTCTCTCTCCATCCTGGATTTGGAATTCAATTGTGCTCGATTTGTGAAGGCTCTTGGTACGGCGCGTGAGGGGCTTTTCACAAAAGAGAAGCACGGCGAGGGGAATTTGAATTTCTCTAAGATGGTTGCTGACAAGTAAATTCGCCCGGTCTGCCTCTTGCTTGTCCTTTTGAGAAAGGATGTTGGTCTGAGGGTTATCCCTGGGGATTTTTTGTCTCTTGGGGGATCCCCAAAGAGGCTTGGCGGGTCCCAGTCTGCCTCATTGCTTCAAGGACTCGGGAAGTGTCACTGTTTATCTTCACTACTTGCTGTCCCCAAGCTGCGGGCCATCTCTCTCCGGGAAAGTTTGTGGACTCTGGAACCCTGAGACTGGCTGAAGGGTTGTGCATTTGGAGTTTAAAAAACAACCTAGCTGATGTTCCAGGATCCAGCAGCGACAGCGTGGAGCTGCTGAGGG